ACCAAGTGCACCAGCCCATCCACAGAGCTCAGTGTCACCTCCCAGGACGCAGAGCTGCTGGTGGTCAAGACCAAGGCGTCTCCAGGTAAGACAGATAGGCAGCCTCTTCACAGTGCTTGTTCATCCAAGAGTTATTTCTAGAACACCTGCTTCACCCCATGCAGTGCGCGGGGTGGGGGTGAGCAGGTCAGTCCTGAGCGCCAGCCTAGGCAAGCTGATGGGTGACCGAGACCGTGTCACAGGGGTGGTGACCGGGAAGCACACAGGAAGGCTCCCTGGGGGAGGGAGTGCCTGAGCCCAGTCCTGAGCTGACACTAAGCAGGTGTGGTCCAAGGAGAAGAGATGAGCGGCAGAGACTACAGGGGAAGAGAGCCCGGGGACACGGAGGGACCCAGAGAAGTGGAGTACCTATGGCTGACACCTGTCACCAGGACGGAGCTGGGAAAGGAGGGCCAGGTCCAGAGTGGGGCTCTGCGCCTCCACCAGGGTCCCTCATGCACCAAGGTGGAGCAGCGAGCCTGCCTCTGCCAGCAGGTGCCCCAGCTGTGACAGCCAGACATGCATCCAAACATTGCCAGATGTCCCCCAGGGGAGTATGATCGAACCTGTGGGATAAAAGATGGCCAAGGCCACAGGGTCTAGTGGGAGTGGGAGCCACTGATGCCCCAGGCCTGAGGGACGGAGGCCAGGACCAGCCTCAGAGATGGTTGAGCTGCGGAAGGGGCAGGAGGCCCCCTGTCCGGAGTCGTGGCTGGAGGGGAAGCCACTGGCCATGGCAGCAGCAGACCTGGGAGGGCTAGGGGGCCCAGCCGGTGCCTCCCGGGTGCAGACCTGCGGCAGCAGGGACAACAGCCCCCACCCCGTAGGGCTGGGGACAGCAGGGGCGCGGGGCACGGTGACAGACCTGATGGGGACGGGCCTCGGCTCTCTCCAGCAGGTAAGCTGGAGGCCAGAGCGGCCCTGAACCAGGCCCTGGAGATGAAGCGCCAGGGCAAGCGGGGCAAGGCGCACAAGCTCTTCCTGCACGCCCTCAAGATGGACCCGGACTTCGCGGACGCGCTCACCGAGTTCGGCATCTTCTCGGAAGAAGACAAAGACATCATCCGCGCCGACTACCTGTTCACCAGGGCGCTGACCATCTCGCCCTTCCACGAGAAGGCGCTCGTCAACCGGGACCGGACGCTGCCGCTGGTGGAGGAGATTGACCAGCGGTACTTCAGCATCATCGACAGCAAGGTCAAGAAGGTCATGTCCATCCCCAAGGGCAACTCGGCGCTGCGCAGGGTCATGGAGGAGACCTACTACCACCACATCTACCACACGGTGGCCATCGAGGGCAATACCCTGACGCTCTCGGAGATCCGGCACATCCTGGAGACCCGCTACGCCGTGCCGGGCAAGAGCCTGGAGGAGCAGAACGAGGTCATCGGCATGCACGCCGCCATGAAGTACATCAACGCCACCCTGCTGTCCCGCATCGGCTCCGTGACCACCAGCGACGTGCTGGAGATCCACAGGCGGGTGCTGGGCTACGTGGACCCCGTGGAGGCCGGCAGGTTCCGGACGACCCAGGTCCTGGTGGGACACCACATACCCCCGCATCCCCAGGACGTGGAGAAGCAGATGCACGAGTTCATCCAGTGGCTCAACTCGGAGGACGCCACGCACCTGCACCCCGTGGAGTTCGCCGCCCTGGCCCACTACAAACTCGTCTACATCCACCCCTTCATCGACGGCAACGGGAGGACGTCGCGCCTGCTCATGAACCTCATCCTCATGCAGGCCGGCTACCCGCCTGTCACCATCCTCAAGGAGCAGCGGGCCGAGTACTACCACGTGCTGGAGGCCGCCAACGAGGGCGACGTGCGGCCCTTCATCCGCTTCATCGCCAAGTGCACCGAGACCACCCTGGACACCCTGCTCTTCGCCACCACTGAGTACTCGGTGGCGCTGCCAGAAGCCAACCCCAACCATTCTGGGTTCAAGGAGACCCTTCCAGTGAAGCCCTAGCCCCGGTGACGAGGGAAGGTAGGGAAGGGATCAAAGAGCATTTCTAGAAACTTCGCATCTCCAGAAGCAGAACAGACCTTTGAAGTCTTTACCTCTTTTTTTTTTTTCCTGGTTAAAAAAAAAAAAAACTAAATTATTAAGCTTTAGTCTCTTTAAGATAATTTATAATTCAAGTTATTTATTTTCTTCTTTTGAGCAAGCCAGTCGTGGGTGGTGTCCACTGTGGCTCTGCTGGTGGCTGCTCTGAGCGGTGGTCCCCCCACCGCAGGAGCACTGATGCTCCTGTGTGACCAGAACCCGGGTTTTGGAGCAGAATTTGCACTACGGCCAGGGAGAGAGGCCAAGTCTTTCTCTGAAACTGGCTGTGAGCAGTGTGTGGCTCTAAGGGGAGTCAGAAGTCCCAGGGAGAAGCCATCCCAGTTCTTGGGAGAGAGAGCATCTTCTTGGGGTTTGGCTCCCCTCCCAAGGGACGAGCGTGGTGGCTTTCCCCAGGAGCGCCACCGTTTGAGGTAGGAAATGAATGTGACATTTCTAGTGGGACTCCTTGCTCGTCTCCGGGAAGGCTCTTTGAGCACCGTTAATTTGCAGACTTGAGTGACGGAAGCTGTTTTTCATACGGAGACTATTTTTCTAGTTCAGGAGGGGAGGGCGGCCAGCCTGGCTTCTTAGTGCATCAGCTTCTCCTTGCACTCCACTCACAGCAGCGGGGCCCAGAGCTTTCTCTGGGGCTCAGCGTCCCTGGGTCGGCCACCCCCTGCAGCCGGCTGCTCAGGAGGCCAGCCCTCCCTCCCCCTGCAAGCTCCCTGTTGATTTTAGGGCATTTCCAAGAAAGATGCCCCATCAGCCCATTAAGCATTTCTGATACTGAGCTAGAGCCCTGCCACAGCCAGGAGGGTCCCTGTGGGGTGGTTTTGCGCCCTCACAGCCCTGGCCTCACCTCACATAGCCCCTCTGCTGTCCAGCCTCCCATCGAGGAAGCGGGAAAGGTTGCCTCCGAGTGGATGTATTTTTCTAGCAACCTGCAAAAAAAAAATGACACAGTGTCATAAATAATGTGGCCAGGCTTCCAAGCTGTCATCTCACAGAAATAGAATCTTCTCTTCCAATCACAGGTGGCACAAGTTCCAATTGGACTGCTGCTAGTTAGTGTCAGAATGGCCAAAAATCACTAGCGTCCTTGCCCAGGGACAGCCTGCAGCGTGACGCTGCACTGCACTTTGTCACGGTCAAGAATCACATCGTGCTGTCCTACCTTTGCTTTTAGGATTGAGTTCCTGACAGCCATGCGGTCACTGCTCAGACAGCAGCAAATGTCTATAGTCATTCACAAATGGCACAGAGTGGTTTTCTGGAAGGTTCAGAAAAATAAGTGGAAACGCGTATGCAGTGGTCCTTCTGCCCGCGCGCCCAGGTGGTATCTTCTGCTGTCTTGGTTTGTAACTGGTGACAAGGAAGCGTGGCAGGAGTGCGTGCTTTGTCCTTTAGAATTTGCACTTTAGCTACAAGTGAAGGATGTTATTTTAACAAATTACTGATTCTAATAAAGTATTTTATTACATAAAGGTCAGACTCTGCCGCCTTACTCAAAGGGTATTTCCAGTGATCAGAAGGAAAGGGCGCTGTAAATGGCCACCCTGCCCTTACATCATCCTGGGACAGCAGACCTAGGATGGCGGTGTCAGGAGGCAGGACAGAGCTGGTTGCATGAACTGCCTTCCCAGCTAATGGGCAGGAAATATCTTGATTTCGGAGGAAATCACAAAATGCCCCTCACATTCTCAGAAACCCATGCTACAGCAGCCGGCAGCCAGCTTCTCCAGGGTCCTGCTGAGTGTCCAGAGGCTCCTCCATCACAAGCCCACGTGGACAGCGGAAGTGAGGTCAGGCTCCAGCCAACAGCAGGGATCAGAGCAGGGCCTGGGACACAGCCAGAGGTGGGCCCCTAGGCCCTGCAGTGGGGAGGACGCTCAGGCAGGCACAGGTTCCCTCGGAGCCCCCAATCACCTAGCCACCAGCAGGCCTCACAGCAACCAGAAAAGGGACAGACCCAGGAGGCACCAGGGCCATGTGAGGCTCCTACTGCCAACAGCGGCTGCCTGAGCTGCTTCCAGAGGTAATGCCAAGAAAAGGGAGTTTGTTTTGTGTAAAGAGAAAAACCAAAGGGGACCCTGCATCTCAAAGGTCCTAAGACATGATCAACCAGCGATCATTTACAAGGAGACACGGACACTGACTAGACACTCTGGGTCGCTGGTGACCCTAAGGTATCACTGCTAACATTTCTCAGGGTGAAAACCAACTGGCCCTTGGGTCCTTCTCTCTCAGGTTAGACTCACGAGCTGCTATCTGAGCAGGCTTCAAGGTAACAGCAGGAGGTGGAAGGGACAGTGCGGCGAGGGGACAGTGAGGCGAGGGCCCTACCGGGCGCAGGAGAGCTGGCACTCGGAGACAGGCAAGCAGGACTATCTACGTTTCATGGTTCTGCCTGTTCAAAACTTCCTGTTAAAAAATGTCAAGTTATGGGGCTGGGGTTGTGGCTCGGACGTATGGTGCTCACCTAGCATGCGTGAGGCACCGGGTTCGATCCTCAGCACCACATAAATAAAATAAAGATATTAAAAAAAAAAATGTAAAGTTACAAAAAATGCAGGAAAGCCTGGCTGACGCACAGAAACAGCTTCACAAAACAAACAGATGAGGAGCTGGTCTCCACTGCATGGAAGGGCCCCCACCGTGCTCCCGGGGGCCTGGGTCAGGGTAGGTCCCCCAGCGTGGCCAGGCTGCTTTCAGGCCACTTGCTAGGTGTCTGGTGAGGTGAGAGGTAAAAACGCCAAGTGTCAAACAGCCATGAACTCCAGTCCAAGACTGAAGACGCATCGCTGCTGGAGGAAAGTCCCGGGAGGTCTGAGTTAGAAAACTCCTGTTTACACCTGCGACCCGTGACCAAACGCCCGTCTGTGATGCACAGCTGAGGACCACGGCAAGGTGACTCAAGAGAACTCCGTTTAATCAACAAAGCTAACTGGGAGAACTAAAGTATTTAAACAAAACCCAAGGGCTGAACCCCAATCTCTAGACCCAGAATGACTAGTCACTAGCAAAGAAAACGGTCCACGCGGGATTCCTATAGAAAACACATGTCGCAAATATTTTGCTTTTAGGAAACATAAAACAACAGTCGACGTGTGGTTTACAAATACATAATAGAAAAAAACAACCCCTGTGAACAAAAGCCCACCAAGTGCTGGGTGTGGGACCCCCGCCCCCGCCCCTTACTAAAATAGGCCGTTCTGGTGAGTCGCCAGCATCTGCCGTTTCTCATCTTTTAAAAATTAAAAGTGACGGGCACGTGTGCTGTGCAGGATGGGAGAGAAATGTCTTACAAAAAGGGCCAGAGGTGGCCCGGAGCATTGGGACAAGTGGGACTCAAGAGCCATGTTCCAGTGTCACTTCTGCTCCTCATTCTTCAGGACACAAAAGTCCATAGGGACAGGTGCCCTGAGGGCCGTGCCCTGCTCCACTACCCTCAATGTGAGGGAGCACTGGGCGCCTCTTCCCCGTCTGAACCCCGCGGAGTCCAGGGGCGCAGGGGTGTGCACAGCCCCTCCTTGGCCCAGGCGCTGCTGGGTGCTGGGTGCTGGGTGGGCTGCCTGACCAGTGGGAAGTAAGGCATTTCCTGTCCTTCACAGCGTCGCTTTCACTTTCTCAGAAGCATCTTGGCAAAATCAGCATTGGACATCTTGGGCACCTCAGCGGCCTCAGAGGTGGGGACTGCTGGGCGCGGGGCAGGGCCGTTCTCGGCCTGACCGGCAGCAGCACCCGGGCGTTGCAGGGCACGCGGCAGCAGAGCAAGCTGGGTCCTTCCCTTCCCCCGCCTGCAAGGACAGACACAGAACACACCCTGAACAAGGGCTCGTGGCTCCAGACTGTATCCTGGCTACCAAAGGAAATGCACTCGACAGACTCTGCCTGTTCACAATTCAGGCCGGGTGCGACACACTGGTGGGAAGAATTGCCGCCATCTCATTGGCTCTTCTGTATCGGGCACAGAAGGGCATGGCCACAGCCAAGGGGGAGTCCAGCAGAACCGATTCAACCTAGACCAAGAGCAGGGAAGGGTGACAGCCAGAGATTTCCGTTTGACTGTGTTCTGGGGTGGGGTGGATCAGCCGGGCTGGATCAATGGGCTTCTGGTTTTAATATTTTCCCCTTTTTTTCTCCCCATTTTTTCTCGAAGTCTTGCCATGTAGCCTGAGTTCCTTTAGGAACTTGGGATGGGACTGTCAGAAGCTCCCGGCATCCACACTGGGGGAGCAGCGGGCCATCTGCTGGACAGGTAGTCCTAGAACAGGCAGGTTCTAGGAGTAGGAGGCGGCAGGGGATTCCCTGCCATGGGGCTGGAGGTGGCCAGAAGCCAGGCGGCGTCTCTGCTGCACCTGGAGCTGCAAGGCCCTGCTGAGTCCCCCAGTGAAACATCACTCGGTCCTCCACGGCCCCCTCTATTTTGCTGTGTCATTGCTGACAGTGCCCCACCCCATCTTTATGTAACTTAACAAACGCTCACCCTAGATTTTTATTAGCCAAAATGTTTTTGTTCTGAATAACATTGTTACTGGGCCAAAAGACAGCTCAGGAGCTGGGGCAGCCTCTGCTTGGGTTTGGTTGAGACAAACCTGGAGGATAAAGCACAGCTGTCCACTGCATTATCTGAGCAAAAAACTACCATAAATAACTTTGTCTTTTGTCAAATAAAGTTGTTCTCCTTTTTGTTTATATAAAAAAAAAAAAAAAAAAAACAAGGCTGCCATCTCTTGGACGCTACTGTGTGACCATGCCATCCTGTCAGCCCCACGAGGAGAAGAGAAAAGCCCAGCTCGTGTGGAGATGACAGCTACAACCCAGGAACGGCAAGCAGGACAGTCTTCAGGTTAATCAGCAAAGGGGACTTCAAAATAACTCCTGCCTCAGCGCTTTTCACTTCAGAATGAACGACATGTGTAAACTGGCAAACAGCAGCAGGTCTGCCTCCCAGGCCCACGCCCTCTGGGACACGCAGGGAGCCCATGCTCCAGCTGAAAAACCCTAGGATCACTGGAGGAGCAGCGGGGCCTGGCCTCCCGTCCTGACTTCCCAGACCTCCCAGCCCTGGAGGCCCCCTGCCGCATGCTGCCAGCACAAGCCCCACCAGACTGGCACGGAACACTTACGCTCCATATATCTGCCTTGGCACCATGGGGCCACCTGGTGCTCTCCTGGCCTCTGGCTTCTCTGGAACTTTCCTCTGAGGGGGGTTACTGATGGCCACTTTGATGACATTCTCTTTGACTGTCATGCCGTCCATCTTCATCACAGCCTGCGAAGCCTGGGACTCATTTTCATACTCCACGTAGGCCAGACCCTGGGGGGGAAGAGACCAGGGCCGTCAGGCGCACAGACCCAGGACGCAACGTCCTCCCAGGGCCAGGGAACCTCGCGTCCTCGGGAAAGCAGCAGACAGCCCATCAGCTGGTCCCCTCCCCACTGCTGACACCCGCTGTCCACAGTTCACTCCAGGCCCCACTTGGCTTCTCTACGGCCCTTCTGATTTTCACACCAGAGAAACCTTTCTGGGATCGGCACACCCTGGGCTTGCTCAGAAGAAAAAGAGACGGGCGAGACCCCGAGGAGGACAACCAGAGGGGGCGGGGGTCCTCTTCAGTCCCTTCAGTGTCTTCAGTTCTCAAGCTGACTGGGGGTAAGGTTTGAAAAGAAATCCAAAATCATGCTTAAAAACACAACTTGAGAGGCTGGGATTGTGGCTCAGCGCGTGCGAGGCTCTGGGTTCAATCCTCAGCACCACATAAAAATAAACAGACAAAATAAAGGTATTATGTCCAACTACAACTAAAAAATATATTAAAAAAAAAAAAAAACACTACTTGAAATGTGGTGCAAAAGGGCCAAGGGCAGGGGCACACGCCTGAGGCCCTAGCCACCTGAGAGGCTGAGGCAGGAGGATCACTGGAGCACAATAATTGGAGACCAGCCTAGATGACACACCAAGACCCCGTCTCAAAGAAACACACCCGTGGGCTGGGGCTGGGGCTCAGAGGGAGAGCACTTGCCTAGCACAGGTGAGACACTGGGTTCCATCCTCAGCACCACATAAAAATAAATTTAAAAATAAAGGTATTGTGTGAAAAAACACATGTATCATTAAAAAAAATATGCACATATACACACATATGCCTGTATATACATGTAGGTGTGCGTACACACACGCACATGGTGCAAGAGGAATTAACAGGATGTGGAGGGGCAGGAGGGAGGGGGAAGAGCAGACCAATGGAGGGACTACGGGCACTGGCTAGAGGCCCGGGAAGGAGAAGAGTGGGGAGGTGACACTGCAGCCAGGGGCCACACTGTGGCTTCTATGAAGGCTAAAACTTACTTTCCAAATGCCTTTTTCATTTTTGGTACATTTGTTACTTAAAGTTAGTCCGATCCACATGGAAGCAGCCAAGCGAGCTCCTCCTCCCATCATGTCACCACCCTGTCTTAGGAGACAAGCCAGGAGCCCCTCAGCTCAGAAGGCCAGGCGCCATCTGCGCCAACACAGACCTTTGGTTTGCCAGCCCGGTTGGTGACCAGCCTGAGGTCCTTCACAGTGCCATGGGCCTTACAGATGTCCTCCAGTTCCTCTTTAGTGCAGGAGAAGGGCAGGCCGGAGATGAAGAGCTTGTGTTTCTCCAGGGCGGTGCTGTACCGGAACACCTGGGGGAGGGCGGGAAGGGAGGACCCCCGTCAGGCCAGGTAGTGCGGACTCGGTCACCCCCCGCCAGGCAGCCCAGAGCCGGACCTGGGATTGGAACCTAGTAACAGAGTCGCCTGGCAAGTCACTTCAGGCCTCAATTTTTCCTCCAAAAAATGGCAAGAATAAGAGCAGCCATTTGCAGAGGACAGGTGGGCAGCCACAGCAGCACGGTCTCCTGCCACTCAGCACCTATCGTCACCACCACCTAGTCAGCTGGTCCAGCTCAGGACACCGGGCCCTGCGTCGGTGCCCACACAGACCAGCTCCCTGCGCAGCGGCGTGTGGAACCCAAGCACGGGGGAGCATGCAGAGCGCAACCCTCCATAGCAGACCTTGAAATCGGGGTTCTTGCTCTTATCCACACAGGGGGACACGAACATCGGCCTCCCTTCCATGTTCTTCCGGTCCAGCTCCAGGGCCTTCAGGGCAGACTGCTCTTCTTTGAACTCCACATAGCAGTAGCCTCGAAAGTCCCCGCGGTTGCTGAACACGGGCCGGATCTCCACCACCTCCCCGCAGGCCTCGAAGAGTGGCCGGAGCTTGGCGGCGGGCTCCCCCATGCTGTAGGGCAGGTTGCTGACGAAGACGGTGACGCTGTCCTTGCTGCTGTCATGCAGCACCTTGGGCACCTCCCGCCTCAGGGCAGCGGCCTTCTCCTTCTGCTTGGACGGGGGGCCGATGTCCACGGGGGCAGGCTTCTCAGGGAGCCCCTTCTCCTGGCCCGCGTCTGGCTCTGGCGCGGCCGGGGCCACGCTGTTCTCCACCCTCCTTCGCTTGGAAGGCTGCTCTGCAGGTGTGCAAAAGACAAGCGGCGATGGTTGGCTGTCAGCTGCCCGCCTTCAGCACGCAGTGTGGGGACCCCTCTCCCGCCATGGACAGGAGTCTGCAGCAGACAGCAGGGTGGCAGGCCCCTGAGGTCTTCCATGACCCTGCTGACCCGCCCCGCAATTTTCTGAGCCCCCATTACAATGCAGTGCGTGGGCCACATCACGGGGAAGTAATGACAAATCCCCATGTACACTCTTAATTGCAGGGGTGGCCAGAGGCCCGCCTCGGGTCAGCAGGATCCCTCTACCCTCCCACAGAGCCCGGGCAGCACAAGGGCAGACCTGAAAGCCACACAGAAACCACACCCGGTAAAGGACGTGCAGGCGCCACAGAGACACCTGGAAAGCACAGCCGCGGGCCTTCTTCCCACGACACTCTGGGCGCTGCCTCGCATCCTGCAACAGACCCTCCCCACGGCCCTGCAGAGGGCCAGCAGGCCTCACCTCCAGCAGCTCTCCCATCGGTCCCCCCGCTGCTCCCCGATGGCACCCAGGCCCTCGAGCTGCATTCAACAGCTCACCCAGCTGCATGGCTGGCCTGTCCCCACCACTGCCTCGGCCCCTCTGCCAGCACCTGGGATCACACCCAATCCTGCGCTCTCAGAGCAGAGCTGTCCGTGCAGCCATGTTCCCTCGCAGCTCTCTGCTGAGGGCCCCTCCTCCCTGTCCTGGCCCAGAAGCCGCATCCCTTCTCCCACGAAGCCTCCTGGCACGGAACTGAGCCTGGCGCCTCTGGCCTCTGCCCGGATCTCAACCTCCCCACAGTCCTGACTGCTCCCAAGTCCACCCACCATACCCTGTAACTTGGGGGCTCTGAGGGCAGTGGCCACAGACAGTCACTTCTGAAGGCCCAAAGAGGTGTGCAAGAAAGGCCAACGGAATGGAGGCTGTGTCTGCACCTCCGTGGCCACAGCTACGCTAGGGAAACACTCAGAGGCCCTAATGTCCCAAGACGATTCCTCACTGTGACAGGACTGCCCTGGATCAGTTCAGACCTCACCTGCCGGGAAAGACCAGCTGGGAGCCCAGCCTCAACACCACCGGGGGCTGGGCGAGGAGGCGCCTGTGGGGCGCAGTGCTGGTGCTGGCACTGGAGCCCAGTGGGAGGGGGACTTGGGTACATGGGTTGGTGACAGGGGCCCAGCTTGGGATAAAGCAGTCAGGGTGGGAGGGAGAGGAAGACACCCAGGCAGGAGGGCCCTGGGCAATGGCCTGACAGGACATGAAGCCCAAGTGCCGGGCACACCGGCTGTGGAGGGCAGCACCCAGAGCGGGCACGGGAGGCCCAGAGGCGAGGGGAGCAGCAGGCCAGGAGCCGGGCACACAGCCAGGGGACAGACAGCGCAGGTGAGCATGCTGAGGGTGACAGGAGCAGGTTTCTCAATGGCAGAAAACCAGAAGGAACCCTGTGGTGTGGACTCGGGGTTCCCAGGACCCGCGTTTACACAAGTTCCACGCAAACAGATGTCCCCAGCACGAGCACTCAGAGGCCTGGGAGCACAATCCCCAACAGCAGTGAGGACATCTGGCACCTGCCAAGTGCCATGCAGTGTCCCTGGAGAACAGGGACCCTAGGCTGGGCCACAAGGGGATGCACTGCATGAAAGGACACACGGGGTGAGACCGCAAGAGCAGGTCCAAGGACACGGAGGCCCGCTCGCAGGAGCTCCTGGAGCCAAACTGGGACAAGAGCTTCAACATAAATGACCACACTAACACACTGTAACCAAGGAAAACCGGGGTCCATGATCCCTGTGACACGGAGGAGGACTCGGAAGTGAAGAGGAACCGGATCTTATCTCCTCTCAGTAAGGCAGAGGCCCGTCAGGAGAAAAGAGCAAGCCAGCGGGCGCCACCTCAGGCACATCAGCAAGGTGACCCAAATCACATGCCACCCGAAAGGATTCACCAGGAAGGTACTATTCCTGCCGAAGAGGCGTGACCTGACTGGGCATGAGGGCCATCAGGAAACCCACACGGAGGAACCTTCTCCAAGAAACTGGCCTGACTTCTTCAAATGTCCTGGTCAAGGGAGCCAAAGGGACATTCCAGACTGGAGCAGACTCGAGACACGGGACAGCTCAACACAAAACTAGATCCTCCTACTTGAAAGGACAGCAGCAGCACCAAAGGCAGGCACTGGGGGGTCTGAGGATCCATAGGCAGGAATGGAGGTGAGCTGCTCCTGGCTCTTGGTTTTGGGGGTTGGGGTACCAGGGACTGAGCCCAGGGGTGCTTAACCACTAAGTCACGCCTCAGCTCTTTTTGCTTTCTATTCTAAGAAAGGCCTGGAATCTGCGCCCCCCGCCTCAGCCTCCCCAGTCGCTGGGATTACAGGCGGGCAGCACCGCACCCAGCCGGGCCCCGACGGCGGCCAGGTTTGCGGGACACGCTCTGAGAAGTCCACGGGCAGCGGGCAGTGTGCGGACACACGGCCTCAAGTGGGCCGGGGGGAAAGTCTTTGTACCCTTTTTGCGAATTCCCTGGAGGTGTGGGGGTGTCAAGGTGAAGCCTCTGAGCAGCCCTCTACCTGCGCCATCCTCGCCCCACGCCTTGCCCTCCTCGGCCTTGCGCTTGTCCCCGCCGCCTGGCTGCTGCTTCTTCCTCAAGGCTTTCTTCTCCGCTCGCAGCCTCTTGCGCTGCTCCGCCTTCTCCTCTTCCTGCTGCGCCAGAGCCGCCTCCTTCTCTGCAGCCTGGAAGGGCAAGGGCAGTGTTGTCCATGTTAGATGTAATGGGCATTATCTTTACAGAACATTTAAGAACCTATTTCTTGGCTGGGGATACAGCTCAGTTGGTAGAGCACTTGCCTCGGCTTGTGAGAGGATGAGACAGGGAAGGGGAAGGGCAGACGGGTGGGCAGGCACTGCCAGCAGCCCCACCGCCGGCGCCCAAGGCCACAGGGTCTGGACCTCAAGCCCATGCTCACAGCGCCCTCAGCCTGTCCCCAAGAGGAAGGAGAAATCGGTCCACAGGACCAGGGCCCCTAGCAAGGCCAACAGAGGCTCCTTCTCATTCTTTCCCATCTATTCCAATGAATTTGGGGGCCAAAATTCCCCCAGCACATTGTTAAAGCCAAAGTGTTCAGTGAATGTAAAAAGATACAAGTTGAAATACTGATTCAGTATCTTATACCTCACAGGCCTATGGCTCACGTGCATCTCTTATGAAGGCCTAAAGGTTTTAAAGAGAAACACCCACACCAAACAGGCAAGAGCTCGAGGGGCTCCAGAGACCCCGACATGCATCACCGTTACCTTCACCCTCTGCTCGGTCACGCGCGCCAACCGGGTCTCAGTTTTCTGAACAGCTATGTCCCAGTCTTCTAAAGTACCTTGATGGGAAGAGAAGCAAAAGTTTACTCCTTCTGTTTTTGAAGGACTTAAAAACATACATTTGTCTTATTTTCCCACACCTCCAGAAGCCACCTCTCCCTAATCACAAGAACTGGAGAGTTCCTCGTTTAAAAAAAATTTAATTCACGTAGGCTTCAAGTTTAGAATTCAAATCGTCCCAGATATGCTCCAATTGCCCCTTTTATGACTTGAAAGCCAGGATCTGACCTCTTACGGCAAAGATCATGAAAATACTCGGATATGAAAGGTCACGAGACATTTGCACTAAGACTGAACAATGTTAAGAGTGACCTAATGTTGCAGAGCTGTTCCTGTTGCTGTTTGGGGGTCTGATCTCCAAGACAGAGGCTCACACCCCCAAACCAGACAAATGCCCGCAGATAAATTCTCGTTGGTCCCTCCTGGCTCTCGTTCATCTCCACAAGGGACACGGGCATGACGCCAGAACTCAGGGGCTGCTGCCGCTCTGAGCACCCTGGCACTGCACACAACGCGCTCGCTAGAGCAGAGCTCTCCACCAAGGGACATCTGACAGCGTGGGCAGGCACGTTTGACTGTCATGGTTGGCTGGGGCGAGGGCTGCTACAGCTTCTAACAGGCAGAGGCCAGAATGTGGCTAAGTGTCCCATAACATACAGGACAGCACAGAGCGCCACAAGAAGCCCTGGGCTGGGGCCACACCACAGAGCCTGGCAGCTGGAGACTGAGCAGAGTCCCAGGGCTTACTCCCTCTGTAAGGCCTCACGACAGTCTAATCACACAGCACCACTTGCCAGGCCGAGTCATGGCCACTGCCACAGGGCCACAAGTGGTCCTTAAAGCCATAAAGATGCTCCCACTGGAGATAGAGCCACAAACGAGTGGAATCCAAGCCCGTCGGGACTGAGGTCGCACCTTCCATCCTCTCCATGGTGAGCAGCACCTCACACACGTGCTCGGGGTAGTCATTGGTGCACTGCACGGCCCGGTGCAGAGCCTTGCGGCAATGCTGCGTGTCGCCGTGCGCCCTAGGACAAGAAGCAGAGAGTCACTGCCACCAGGGTGTAAAGCAAAGTGCACAGGAAGGGAGGGCTGCTTCCACGGTGGGTTCCCCAGACACTAGTTTCCCAGGAGACCCCGCTTTCCTCCTGCCTCCACCAGTCCCCTCAGCTGCCCAGGGAGGCGTTCTCGGGACCGCCCTGCAAGTGCCCCTGGAAAATGTCCCCAGGGTGCAGTCAGCAGCCAGGGTGTCCGTCTCTGTAGTACATGGAGGTGCAACACGTGGGACAGAGGCCCAGCAGGTCTAGTCACTTGACAAGAGAAATCCCATGCAGCCCAACCAGGGGGACGCACCCACCACGCCTTCAGTCAGAGCATTTGGTGGTGACGTGGAAAGACGCCACCAATCGCGACACATGAAACAAGCCTTTAACCTCAGTTATGTTCCCATTTGTTTTTTAAAAAGTACAAATGTACACAAATATTGTGAAAATGGATAAGACAGAAAAAATTCAGAGTGTGGTTCCCAAAGTACGACCCATGTACCCGGAGATCTCTTGGCTCCAGGACCCTCTCTGGGGGTCTGCAAAGTCAGAGGACCAAAATGTCACTGGATTTGTTCACTGTGTGACATTTGCATGGTGGCTCTTCATACAAAGTAAGGCAGACACACCTGTTTAATATTCTGTGAGACACACTGGGAAGTACACATAAAGCACCTCTGCTGACACTGAAGGACAAAGAAAAGTGTTGCAGGGCTGGGGATGTGGCTCAAGCGGTAGCGCGCTCGCCTGGCATGCGTGCGGCCTGGGTTCGATCCTCAACACCACATACAAACAAAGATGTTGCATCCGCCAAAAACTAAAAAATAAATATTAAAAAATTCTCTCTCTCTTACTCTCTCTTTGAAAAAAAAAAAAAAAAGAAAGAAAAGTGTTGCAAAGAAAAGTGTGTGGCACTATTTGAGTCGAGACCTGAATTGGTCACTTTTTTTTCACAGAACAGTTTTTACTTGAAAGAACAGCTGAATGACAATGGGCACTGAGACTGTGTTTCACATGTTACTTCCGAAAATTAATGAAGTCAGTCTGCCACACCAGAGAAAACCACTGATGCCACTTGTTGCCAGTGATAAAATCTGAGCTGCTAGCTGGGCACAGCTCGGCACGCCGTCACCCCAGCACCTCGAGGCTGAGGCAGGAGGAGCGTAAATTCAAAGCCAGCCTCAGCCACGAGGCCCTAAGCACTCAGCAAGACCCTGACTCTAAATAAAAAGGGCTGGGGATGTGGCTCAGTGGCTCATTACCCCAGGATTCAATCCTGGAACCAAAAACAATCAGAGCTTCTAGGTGAAAATTAGTTTGGGAAAATCTGCATGTGCCACTGTGAGTCTGAAACATTCCTACTTAAAAGACTTTTCTACCAAATGCAGTAAGGATGTGAACAAATACAGTGTTTTTATACTGTAGAATGAAATGTGTCAACACGTGGAAAGCTGCATGATCATCAGGCACGATGTCCAGAATCTCAGCACCAGGTACAAGTCCATGCAGGGCTGGGCTGGGGCTCAGCGGGAGAGCGCTCGCCTAGCACCTGTGAGGCGCTGGGTTTGATCCTCAGCACCACATACAAATAAATACATAAAATAAAGGTAGATTTCATCTACAACTAAAGAACAATTAAAAAAAAAAAAGTCCATTCAAAGTGTAAATTAAAGCCAGGCGTGGCATCATGTTCCTGTGATCCCAGCACTGAGGCTGAGGCAGGAGGATCACTTGAGTCCAAGAGTTTGAAAGCAACCTGGGCACCACAGCAACCCTCCCCACCCACCACCACCCCACCAAAAAAAAAAAAAAAAACCTAAGTGCAAACTAAACACATAGATATTAATGTAACTAATTAGGGAATATTCATTAACGTGGTTTCAGATATACATTCTAAATGACATTTAAGAACCTATTTCTTGGCTGGGGATACAGCTTAGTTGGTAGAGCCTTGCCTCGCATGCATAAGGCCCCGGGTTCAATCCCCAGCACCACCATAAAAAATAAATAAATAGATACTACATATTTATTTCATTATTTGTACATTAAAATGATATTTATTTTATTATTTATAAATACTAAGATCTGTGTTTCACATATTTATATTTATTTACATTAATTTGTTTATTTGCTTATTTATTTTGTGGTGCTGGACACTGTGCATGCAAGGTCTCTACCAACTGAGCTATATTCCCAGCCTATGATCTTTAATTAAAAAAAAAACAGAACTTAAGTAATTACTTAAACTAGGCATGGTGGCACATTCCTATAATCCCAGCAGCTCCAGAGGCTGAGACAGGAGGATTACAAATCCAAAGCCTCAGCAACCTAGCAAGGCTGTCTCAAAATATAAAATGAAAAAGGGCTGGGGGTGTGGCTCAGAGGTTGAGCGCTCCAGTATTCAATCCCTGATTTAAAAAAAAAAAAACTATTACTTGTTGCATTCAGCCAAGTCTGGAAGGAGAATACCATTAACTGAAAGACAGCCCTTTCTTTCCTAACCTCATCGGTGTGAGGCCAAATTCTCTTTATACTTTCCAATGAGAATAATCTTAGCAGATGAAGAAACAGAAAAATTCAGCTGTCCTCCACTAAGCAAACTGAAGAGACAGCAAAAAGAGAAGACCGAACTACTTTTCTCACTAAACTGTTTTAGAGTTTGGAAAACAATCACTTCTCCAAGAAATGTTGTTTATGTTAAATGTAATGGACATTATTTTTAAAGGATTAACAAAAAATATTTTAAATTTCTGTTTTTCTAATTAGATGAATATTGATATAATCCACACAGACGAAAGCTCTTTGGGGCCTCCCAGTTTTAACAGAGTAAGGGGGTGCTGCGACCAAAAGGCATGAGAACTGCTAATCTAGAGAAACAGTCAACAAGCTCCAAAAGTGGCCCTCTCTGGGGTCAGGGTAAGATTTTTCTATCATATATTTTTGTCTCTGTGCTTTTTCAACTTGAGCACAATTGCTTTTTTAAATAAGGGAAATAATAAAACATTCAAAAAAGGAACAAAGTAGTACAGAAATACATATGACATGTAATATCCAAGACATACTGAACAGAATAGCTGGTCACATTCTCTGTCCCTTCCCCATGTGATAAATATTACTGGACAGATCGTCTAATTCCAACAGTTTTAAAGGTTTGAAAATCATATACGCTATAACTGCATTTCCATTTTAAAGAAATTTGAGCACCAAAAAGTCTCAAAAAATACACCCCAAAACCCTAACAAACAAGCTAGAGATGTAGCTCGGTGACAGAGAGCTTGTCTGGTATGGCGAGGTCCCGGGCTATGTCCCTACTGCCACAAAAATAAACATGAACTGACACTGGTTAAGTATGAGTCACAAGTTTTCAATTACTTTGAATTTTCTTCTCTTTGCTTTTTAGTGCTATTTTCTTATAAAATCAAATATAATTTTTTTTAAAAGATCCCAAGAGTCAAATAAAATATTCATGTCCAAATAAAAGAACAAAGAATTTAAAAAAAAAAAAAAAAAGAGCCCCATGGCCTGAAGAGTCCCCCACAAAATGCTGTTAGCTTCTCCAGCCCCGCCCACTGGCCAGACAGGGATAAGGACAGGCCATCCCAAGGAGCCAGCCAACGCAGCAGGAGTCACCCATGACACCCCCTCCAGCCCCGGGGCGGTTACCTTTCCAGGTTGTAGTACTCCAGCCACATGTTGGCGTACTTGGCATTTCCTTTGGTCATGATGCTGTCCCAGAGTTCCCGAGCTTTCTGCATGTTATTGCACAGTCGCGCCTGTGAGGCAGCAGCAAGCCCAGTGAGAAAGGACCCGGCCATCCCAACATCAGCACTGTCACAAAGCCTGCTCACAGACACGCCTGAGGAGCCCCCCACTGCTACCAGCGTTGGGTTCCAGGCTTCCCACCAGTGACAACAGGCCAATCACTGGTGCCCTCTGCTGCAGCAAGCCTCAGAGGACCTGCCGAGGCCTCTTGTGAACAGAGCGGCACACTCCAGCGCCCACTCAGCAGCATGGGAGGCTCATTTGCTTTGTTTCTACTGAGCTTCATTGCAAGGGTTCAAGTTCAGAGCAATGCACAGACAGAACGACTGACCTGGCATTAGACACCAGTTTATAAGCCCCCTGACCGAAGGCCCCTAGCCTGAGCACGTTGCCCAACCTCTCTGAGCCTGGGATCCTTGTCCTTAAAGTACCCACAAGCCAGACCCCCATATGGAAACCACCTGACACACGTGAGCTGCTTTGGCCTGACTCGCTCAGAGAGTACTCCATGGCTCAATCAGTTTGATGTCCCTGGATCGGTAATAACATTCCCTATATCCACTCATATTTTTGCCAAATCATCCACCTTCTGCCTGGATTAAGACCTGAGCAGTGCAGACAGCCTCTGTGCAACTCCCACACACAGCCCGCTCCCGCGCAGGAAGCAACAAGGGAGGGGGACCTAGCATTCGCGCAGCCTAGAGGACCTAGCCACACACACAGCCCAGAGGCTGTTCCCACCAAGACAAAAACAAATGTTCAGGGTGGGGCTGGAGCTTGGGCTCAGTGGGAGAGCCCTCGTCTGACTTGTGTGAGGCCCTAGGTTCGAACCTCAGCACCACATATAAATAAATAAAATAAAAGATCCACTGACAGCTTAAAAAAAAAACACAAATGTCCACCATGCTAGGTAAATAACACAAATCCTTAAGACTCTAGAACACCCCGGGATTCTAACTGTATTCCACAACACTATTAATAAGGACCCTTCAGAGGTGAATGAAATTCAAGAAATGTCCACAGGTTTACCTCGATCCTAGCCCAGTTTTGCATGATCACGCAGCTCGGATCTCCACTCTCATTGAACCCTTTAAGAATGGAATTAGTGCAAATCAGAAAGGAGTCCCAGGCAAACCCTGTCGGCTGGGCAGGCGGGCAGGGGGGCAGGCAGTGGGCAGGCGGCGGGGCGAGGCGGGCGGGACTCACGCTCCTCGACCTCCTGCTGCAGGTGCTCCAGAGCGCGCGTGAACGCCGACCGCAGCTCCTCCAGCTCCTTGCTGGAGTCTGTTGGAAATCGCAAAAAGGGTCGTACAGAGTCACCCAGGCTGCCACTTTTTTTATTGTCATTTAATCCTAGACCTGCCTGGAAACCCAACCTGCGCCTGGCATCAGGTGGAAGACCAGAAACAACAGCCCCGTCCCCGCTCTTCCCACAGAAGGGAAAAATGAGATGGGGGAAGGACACAGTGGGGACACAGGGCAGAGCCAGAGGTGCGCACTGGGGACGTGGGGAACCATAGCAGGAGGGGGGTCTCCCCAAATGAGCTGAAGGCCAGAAGGAGCACGGCTGAAGGCCACCTGCACAAAATAACCACCGTGTGGTGCCCACGCACACGTTGGGGTTCCTCTTTTCTTTTGGGGGAGCAGGGTTGGAGCTGGGCATCAAGCAGGGGTCCTGCAGAGAGCCAAACAGCTAAAGGACATCATCAGCCTTATTTTAAAAACTATCTGGAACTTATTGAAAAAAAAAAAGAGAGAGAGAAGAAGTGAATACTGAGAGAGGAGGCTGCAGGCTGGCAGGAGCACAGGAACCTTGGGCACCTCTCCACAGCGCACTGATGCCCGGGGGTGGGGGGTGCCAAGGCCTGGCCTGGGGAACTAAACCACGGCACCCAGGAGGTGTCAGGAGAAGCCCAATTCCAGGGAGAGCGGGTGCTGCAGTACCTTGCTTGAAGTCCACCCTCCTCCTCAGGTAATCCAGGTACGCCTGCCAGATCTCCACATAATCGGTGGCCTGGATGAAGCCAGCATTCAAAGCCTTCTCAAAGGTCACTGAAGTTGGAGAAAAGGTCAGGATTCAGTGCCAATTCAAAAAGATGCTCATATAAAGTTATTGAACCCTCCTGACTTCAGAACACCTCATGACTTAGAAAACAGAAGTGAGGTAAGCTGGAGAAATATGCTCCAAAGGGAGGCTCACACGACACCGCAGACAGTGCTCTGGAAGGCCTCACTCCACAGATGCCCTGCAAGGAGAGTCCCGGATGGAGAACAGACCACCGCTCCTTTACAAATGATCCCAATTAGTCTTAGCATGTTGGAAAGATCTAGGAGCCACCAACACAGCCAGCTTACCTCCACTCAGAGCCCCTTTGGTCACTAGTACTCAATATTCCAAGAAAACCCTGGGGAATGCTAACTTCATGACTTTTCCCAGTTCCATTTCTCAGTTGGGACAAAAAGCTCAGAAAGTCTTCCCACAAAAACACACGCACCAGAAATCACTCGATGCTCCACTCCATGCCTCTCCATGGCCAGGAGGTAGCGGCTCCACAGGGCAACAGTCCAGGGGCAGTTCCTAACAGCACGGCTGTGTACAGACAAAACCAGATCCTTCACTTTCAGTTGCCGATCCTAGGAGAAAGAAGTCCAGGGTGAGAAGACAAAATGTTCTTGTTGAGACTTCATCATCGGGCTGGGGATGGGGCTGGGGCTCAGCTACGGAGCGCTTGCCTAGCACATGTGAGGCACTGGGTTCAAGTCTCACCACTATATATAAATAAATAAAATACAAGGTCCAGCAACAACAATAAAAAAAAAAACCTCATCATCAACTAGACACTGTCAGCACAATCAAGTGACAAGAGAAATTTCCATTATTATGTCTCTTGTGACCCAGTTTCTCTTTTGCCAGGGAAGTAGATAAGAGAGGAGTGGGTGGGGAGAACCTAGGTAAGAGAGGCTTAAAAGACATCAACCAATCCTAACATGTGAACCATGTCTGGATCCTTTTATATAAAAAAGATCTTTTGTATGTACATAAAGAAATATTTCTCAATGAAATATCATTTTTGGATATGCTTCAAAATAACACAAAAGGGGAAAGTAGTAAAATTAAAGATGAACCAGAATATAGCCACAATAGTTAACCACTGTTGAAGATGAAGACGGATATATAAGCCTTCATTTTCCTAGTCTGTCTACTTTTGTTTATATTTTTTCTATGATCAAAAGTTAAAAGAAAAAAACAATCCATTATTAAGTCCTCAAGAGTAGGGATACAAGCACATTTTTTTACACAGTTAGTGATCAGTTTAAAATAACTTCAAGCCAGGCACATTGGTACACACCTATAATCTCAGCAACTCAGGAAGTCAAGGCAGGAGGATCAAAAGTATAAGGTTAGCCTCTGCAACTTAGCAAGACCCTGTCTCAAAATAAAAAATAAAAAGGATTGGGAATGTAGTCTAATACCTTGAGTTGAACCCACAGCACCCCTGGCTTCCATCTCTAGTAACAAAAAAATAAGATAAAAATTAACTTCAAACACGAGAAGAAATCCCTGAGCAAAGTAACAAAGAGTCTGAGAACAGGAGGATAGAGAAGGGGGACAAAGGCAGCAGATTTCTTTTATTTTTTTTGAGGAGATGGGGATTGAACCTACCAGAGTTCTATCACTGAGCTACATATTCAGCCCTTTTTATTTTCTGAGACAAGGTTTCACAAACTTTCCTAGGCTGGCCTCCAACTTATGATCCTCCTGCTTCGGCCTCCCAAGTCGCTGGGATTACAGGTGTGCGTGTGCCATTGCACCCAGCACATGCAACTAACTTCTGGCCGTCTTAATGATGCCCTATAATCATATTCTGGCAAAAACAAAACAAGGCAGAACGGTTATCTTACTAGGTACTGACTGTAACGGATCCATAAGTCTGGGACGAGGCAGTTCTCGACAAGGGCCCGCTCAAAGATCAACTGAATGCGAGCGGGGTCGCCCACCTTCATCTCAAAATCGATGTACGCTTGATATTCTGCCAACCTCGGTGCCTCTGCTTGCAGCTGGAGCACAGGAAGATTGTACATGGGTTTAATTCAGTTACTGGATACTGTCAGGAAACACAAAACATCTCCAAATAAAATAAATGTTGGCAAGAGTGGCTATACCAGGAGAAGAATCACCAAATCCTCCCTCTCGGGACTACTCCAAGACAGGTGGATACTTTGATGAGCACAGCCCTAGTTTTCTCCTCTGGTCCAAAGTGCCCCCTCACAGCAATAGTTACAAAGGCTCCAAAACTGAATACATTCCTAGACCACAGGGAATTTAAAGTGGTGAGTCAGAAAGTGAATGAAAGAGCAATGACCGCTGCCAATCATCCTTCACCACAGAACTCACTGAGCCGCATAAAGGCAACCCAACTGGAAAAACCCAGGGCCTGTGCTGTACCAGGTAGCTCACTCCAAACACCAGCTCCCACGGGGCACAGACCCGGGGAAAAGACAGGGAAGCTGGGCTGGGCGCACCCAGCGACACAGGAGCAAAACTCTTTTTAGACAGCATCCTCTGATTCAATTTATTTTTTCTTCAGCCACACTGCACTGATGGCCATGACAAAACTCAGCTGGTGAGCACTACTCCTTAACAAGGTTTGTGAAGCATATGTACAACCAACCTTTACAGGTAAAGGGCGGGGGGCACCTGCAGGCTGAGCAGAGAGGGCGCCTGCAGGCTGGGCAGAGGGCATGCCCATTCTACACAGAGACACGATGCTATAGCACCTGCCTCCCGTGTGATGGCAAACCACCCAAAGTGTGCCACTGAGAACAGCGAAAACTGCTGGATTAAATGGTTTTAAATCTTCCTAAAAAATTAACAAACTGACAAAGGAACAGGAAATACTAAGGAGAAAATCTAACAGAGGGCAGCAGGCTAAGCTGCTGAGGGGAGGTTGAGCTTCCGATGGCTCAGCAGACAGTAAGATCTGGTCTCACAACCGTCACACTGCAAGTCTCACTGCCGTCCGCATCTTGCCTTCAGGGAAGCCGAGACACTGGCGCTCACTCCTCGACAGAGTCAGAGTGAGTGGCAGGACCAGGGCTCACCTAGGCAGCCTAACTCGCAGTCGGTGCTCCACTCGCTGTGCCAGGAAGGACTAAACAGAATCCAGAAGCCCACGAACCTCCACCAGGACCAACAAAGAGACAGTCACCTCTGGACCTGTGGTAAGGGCGCTGCGGACATCCAGCCAACCAAGGAGGACTTAAAGTCAGCCAGCAGGACAACAAGGCTGGCTGGGCCGAGCACCTGTCCAGAATGCGTGGGGCTCTGGGTTCCATCCCGCTGCCTGCAGCAGCAGCAGCAGCAAAGCAAAGCAGACAAAGAGGGAGGAGGAAGAGGAAGAAGAAACACAACGACCTCAACGAGCAGGAGGCCGGAGGCCGGAGGCAGGCAGTTACCTTCCCGACGGCAAGCCCAGAAGCCAGAGCTGGCCAGCTGCTGGCCAGCCACTGAGCACACAGCTGCCAGGCACCGTCTGCAGCCTGAGAGTGACCAGGGAAGCCAGACCTCCCAGACGACACTCCAGCCGAGATCTCAGCTGAGACTCCAGGATCCAAGACGGAAGGAAGGCAAAGAAAGCACGAGGGAATTCGCAAAAGCGTAAAGGGCACTGCTAATAGGGACACCGACAGCTCAGAGCAAAAGGCAAGACAGGGGAAAACCAGAGCGCCCGTCCGCCGGAGTAGGGGCGGGGTGCCACTTACAAATAGTATTGTCAGAGCCACTATCCCGAAGCCCCCAGAGCCTGATAATAAGAAGCCAGCAGGGCAGGGGCACATGCAATCCCAGCAGCTCAGGAGGATGAGGCAGGAGAGTCACAAGCTCACGGCCAGCCTCAGCGACCTAGAAAGACCTCTCAAAACAAAAACTACCAAGGACTGGGGATGGAGCTCAGCGTTTGTGAAGCACCCCTGCATCAATCCCTGTTCCACCCAACACACACACGTATTAACAAAATAATTCAACATGTTGGTTGATTTAAAAAATTAATATAAAATATTGATTGCATTTTATACACCAAGAAAACTAGAAAATAAAATCTTTGAAAACATCATTTAGAAGTACACTCAAAAAACAAATACATCTAAAAATGTTTAAAACATTGGATTAATTTGTAAAATTATTAGAAAGCTTTTCAGAAAGACCTAACTAGCAGAGACCTATAAAATGGTCACAGATTGGAAGACATAAATTTTTTCTCCAACTAATCTACAGATTCAATATGATTCCAAATGAAAACTCCACAGAATTTTAAAAGCTAACTCTTAAGTTTAATGGAATCACCAACAACTAAAGAAAGCCAAGTCCCTCTGAAAAGGAACGAGGTGGGGAGGACTCACCCGACCCAACACATCCTGAAACCACCGCATCACATCACTGGCCCAGCACGGGGAGGCCCTGGGTCCCATCCCCGCTGCCCGCAGCACAACACAAGCCAGCAGAGACCCCCCCCCGGGGGGGGCCAGGCAAACAAATGGACTGTTAACCTGTGACAGAAGTGCCACTGCACACTAGCGAGGGGGGGGGGTGGAATTACAGGAGCTGGGGTGCCACACGTCTCCACCTGGGAACCGAGAGCAGCCAGCCGGCCTCACACCACCACAGACCAATATGGTGAGTGAGGGACCCAAACATGACAAAGACGAGGCGACCACGAGGAGAAGAGAGCTGGAGACAGACGTAAAGACAGAAGGCCTGATGTGAGCCCAGAGGCAGCACGACCCAAAGGGAAAGAAGGACAAGCCTGGCCAGAGTAAAGTCAAGATGTGCTCATCCAAAGACACCACTAAACAGGACACTGAAAAGAGGAGCCACAAGCGGGGGTGGGGGACAAGAATAAGAGCTCCCAAGGGGGCTGGGGATGTGGCTCAAGTGGTAGCGCGCTCGCCTGGCATGCGTGCAGCCCGGGTTCGATCCTCAGCACCACATACAAACAAAGATGTTGTGTCCACCGAAAAATAAATAAATAAATATAAAAAAAAAAAAGAGCTCCCAAGAACCCAACAGAAACAGACAAAAACGGGAAGGACTGGGGCGCAGCCAACCCCAGCACAACTGGGGGAGACAAACGGGTGGGAGGTCAAAATTTTCATGGGCACTTCATAGAAAGGGAAATTCAAAAAAAGGCCAGTGAACATAAAAAGATGTCCGACTGCATTAGTAATCAAGGAAAATGCAAATTAGAATTATAATTTCAAACTTATCAGAGTTTGGCTACAATATAAGTGTGCAAGAGTGGCCCGAGAAAGCGATTCAGATGCCGCTGGCTGGAGGGCAAACAGACCACTGAGACACGGGCATCGCCCGACCATCCAGCACCTTCTTGCCCAATACACACTGCAAACCTCCCACGTGTCCACCACGAGACACGCACCAGGATGTTCAAGCAACAGCGACCCTCCTACCAAAAACCTGGAACCACCCAACTGCCCACCAGCCACATGGACACACCAACTGTGGCACACACAGACAACCTCCTACCAATGACAATGAATGGACTGTCACTCTACTCCTCGACATAAAGCCCCAAAACGTGTTGGATGAAAGAAGATATACGGGAAGAATACGTTATAAGTTTAAACACAAGCAAAATTAAACAATATATTAATTAAGGATGCATTCATAGATTGTAAAACTATAAAGAAAAGCAAGGGAATGATTATCACAAAAGTCAGGAAAGTGATTACCTCTAGGGAGAGGGAGGAGGAGGCAATCAGAGAGGGGCACATAGGAGACTTCTAAGGTACTGGCAATGTTCTATTTCTTAACCTGGGTGGTGGGTACATGGATGTTCACTTTATTATACGATGTAAACTGTAGGTGCACATTATAATACTCTATATACTGCACAATAAACATACTTTTCAAGAATACTGTTAACTTGCAACCATCCATCAGGGAAATGTGTGCAGAGAGAAGGTCCCCATAAAAGCAGGACACTCACCAGGGCTTCTTCATAGGGCTTGTACTTCTCCAACTGCTGCAGCGCCTTGTTATAGCTCTGAACTACCGACTCTGGTATTGGGTCTTCTGACCATTCTTCATACTCGGCGAATGTGGCCTCCATATCTATCAAAAGACGAATTCAGCCCCATGGGTCTTGCACTGGGTTTTATCAACTCAAACATAGAAAATGTCATGGACTCAAGTGCCACTAGGCCCCTCCCATATCCATGGCCACGGCAGCTCTATAGATCACATTCTGAGTTCTTTTGCTGAGCCCAGTTTGGCCTTAGAATCTGTGTCAAAGTGACATGCCAGACAACTCTACCAGTCAACTCATCAGTCACTGAAGCTGTGGGCGACACTTACCTAGGGCGTCAGGGCTGATTCTAACACCACACATCCATCCCCCATCAGCACTCGCAACTCTACAAGGCGGGCGCTATCATAATCCTCATTTTGCAAATGGAGAAACTGAAGCAGAAAGTTAAGTGACTTCTCCACAGGTAACAGCAGAACAAGGCTTTGAACAGGACAGTCAGGTCCAAGTTCACACTCTAATCACTAAGCCAGGCTGTCTCCCAGTGGTGTGCGAGATAAAAGCTACCAACCAGTTCAGTTCTGACCTCTGCCGCATGTCACCCAATTAGACAGCCTCCTTCTAGTACGTTCAATACAGTCCAAATAAACCGTGAAGTTCAAAGGCGAATACAGCTGGGCTCAAGCAGAGCTGCCCAGAGGCTCCGAGTGTGTAACCATGCGCTGGGGACAGATGAGAGGACAGCGCCAAACGCTTCCCACACTGGAAAGTCCTCCAGTGCTGCCCCTGCTCAGAGTTCTAGTGCCAAAGGCTCACCTCACCAAAACGTATTCAGCCAAAAGGGAGACTCTTAAATTCAAACCTGAGTCTAGCCAGCCAACTGTACTTCTGAACCAAAGCGCCTCCACAGAGGAATGACCCCCCCCCCCCCGGGTGTCCATGAGGCTACTCATGAAAAGAAAATGCTTTTAACAAAATTTTTATTCAATAGTCTCCCCAGGAAATGCAGGTGTCTATCTTCCTATTCTTTTCAGAGACCATCTCCCCTTCCCAACCACATGCTGAAGTAGGGAGGAGAACTCCACAGGTCGGAGGGGCCAGCTGCCAGTCCTTCGGACTCGGACGACCCTCCTGGGCATTCCAACTCAACACAGGTTTTACTAAGGACCTCATCCAGGGTGACACTGTCCAGTAAGGATGAGAACCCCAGGCCCAGCTCCGCACAGGACAGAGAAGGTCTAGCTCAGGACAGTCAGAGGAAGCATTTTAAAGCACAGCGGGCTGTGAGCCGTTTCTCTTACCGTAGAGGGGGATCGCCAGCTGTCGCCGGAAAAGACTGTGGACTTTCTCAAGCTGTGAATCAAAGGTTTGTTCCCGGTCAAAAGGGGAAAGGAAGCCAGCCATGGGCTAAAGAAGCAAATTAGTAGTAAATGGCACACTTTGGTTCTTTCTACTTCAAAAAACATCTCATCAACTTTTCGGTTCAAGTTAGAAAAACTTTTCTACCTCCTCTTACACAGATGGCATCCGAGCAAATGCCTGGGGGTGCCCAAAAGTAAACGCCACCCCTGCCTGTAAGGATCTGCGACAGGAAGAGCCAAGAATAATGGAAGAAACGCATCCAAATGGCCACAGTGCTTCAGTCTCTTAAGAGCAAAGCACAACGAGGGCCACCGAGTTACGGGGCCTGCTTGATGAGACCTGTGAGGGGGCCCTGCCGTCAGAGACGGGGCAATGAGGCAGATCCCAGAGAAGGGGCCCTGGGGCGCACTGCAGGCTCAGAGACTTCCACTTCAATAAAGGACAGTGGCAAGGATGTTCGGGGCACAGTGGGAGCACAGTCCTGCAGGGAGCAAGTCTGACCCTAGAGTCGCAAGCGTCACGCGGGTGAGGCGAAGGCACCACGCCAGCCTCTGAAGCGGGGGATAACCCAGAAGCCCCTGCGGCTGTTGGGCCATGCGTGCTGAGGGGATGGGGCGCTGAGTCTGGACTCTTTTAGTTTTTAGAATATCTGCACATACACAGCGAGTTAGCCTAGGGGCTGGGGGCCTGTGTGTTCACAGACACTTTATACGCACAGTCTGAGGGAAATTTTATACAAGATTTTCAGTGCACCTGACTGTGACCCAGCATCACATGACAGTAGGTGTGGAATTTCAACTTGTGACAAATTTTGAAGCATTTTTCAGATTTCAAATTTTTGAATAAGGGATGCTCAGCCTGTCAGGGGCCCCACAATGCATCACTGACAACTGTGCATGTGCACATGCAGCACAGAGGGGACTTGGCTATAGAATTCCATAAATCATAATCTTAAAAAATGAATTATTATGGAGTATGAGGTCAAACCTCCCTCCCCAACATTTTCCCTAGTGAAATGCTATGCTGTTCTTGCATTCACCTGTAACTAAAGCTGTGTTTCAAAATATCAGAAAAAAAAATAGTAGCCATCTGCTTTTAAGTCAAATAAACCATTCTTGTTATTCCACAAATACTACCAATTTTATTTATTTTATTGTCCATCCACAAACAGATTAGCAAGGACTATTTTGTTAACTATGTTTACTGTAAGACTTATCCTGAACCCTTGTCTCAAAATGATACTTACAAGACTCAGAAAGACCACCCCTGACCATTAAGAGGGAAGCATGGGCCTTGGAGACCTGGACACTCACCCGAGCAGCTTCCACAATGGCACTTTCAAACTCTCGGTAGGCCTCCCAGATGGCCAGTCCTTTGGTCATGTGCAAACCGACAGATGAGAGAGCCCTTTCAAACACAGAGCGGACCTTCTCAAGGCCACCTTTCTGACCAATCCCACCAACGGAGTACTGACCATACTCCAGCCAAATGTTAGGACCTAAAAATGAGAAGTGTTCAATTAGCTCCAGACGTACAATACCCAATATCAAAACTGACGGATAACAAAAGAAATGTGTCCTCATTCATGCAAAACACAAAAAAGGGCCACCATCAACTATTTTAAAATATATTTCTAAGTACAATCATTAAAAATTTACTTTATAAACAGGACATGCCGAGTGGTACTGTGCAGTTTGATTGTGCTTACAACATTTATTTATTAAAACTGAAAGAACATGGAAATGGATTTCAATGAAAATAGTTACGAAGCCCAGTCAGTCTTAAGAAAAATTTCAAAGCCTAGAATTTTCAACTTTTGAACCCTAAGAATTCCTAAGTCTTCTAGTTTAAAGTGAAAGACTAAAATTAAAAGCACTAATCCTATTACTAGAAATCTCTATTTTAAGTCTCCTTCTTAATGGTGTTGAAACAAAACAACTTGGTCGCCCTGTTTTGTTTTGTTTTTCCACTTTCTTCTTGACCCTTCTTTATCCCCACTCGTGTGCCTTTAAGACCAGACAGACGAATTAAAACTGCATGAATGCATCACTGCTTATACTACACACTTTGCCTATTAGGTCACTTTTTAGGGACCTGAAATAATTTCAGAGGCCTATCCACTAACTTTAAAATAAAAATGCTAAAGGATGTGGAAGCCAATTTGACGATCACTACATGTGCCCGAGGCTGCTGCTTCACCAGGAGACCTATTCCAAACAACGCGGCCAAAGCCTGTTAGCTGCCCCGCTCTCGCTCACCAGCAGAGATGCCCACGGGCTACAGAACCAAAACGGAAGTGAGCCAGCTGCCAGATCTGAGGCAGAGGTGCACCCGCTACCACGGAGGACCCCACACGGAAACGTCATTGTCACTCAGGCCCCAGTTTGCATCAGGTCCACTCCTGCCGTTGTCTACTCTGTGGGTTGGGACAAATGTTCTGAAGACCCGTGTCTCCCACTGCGACATCACCCAGCGCAGTTCCACTAATCTCCCGAATCCTTCCCTCTCCCTCTCCCTCTCCCTCACCCCACATCTTTTTACTGTCTCCGTGGTTCTGCTTTTTCCAGAATGTCACCTAGTTGGACTCATAGGATGGAGCCTTCCAACTGGCTTCTCCACTTAGTAAGCTGCACTTCGGTCTCCTCCACATCCTTCTATGGCTGCACAGCTCATTTCTTCGGAGGACTGAACAGTGCGTCAGTACCTGGACATTCCCAGCTGTTACCAGCCCACCCCTTAAGGACATCGTGGTTGTTTTGAAGCTTTGGCAGTTATGAATAAAGCTGCTATATCCATCCATGCGGCAGCTCTTATGGACTGAAGTTTTCAACTCCTCCGAGCGCACGCCATGGAGCACCAGGCTGGATGGACCAGAATATGTTTAGCCCCACCACCCTCCCAATGGCCATACTATTTTGCATTTTTCACCAGCAATAAACCAAAGCAGCATTTCCTGCTGCCAGTGTTCCTGGCCCTTCTAACAGGAGCACAGTGGGCTCGGCTGTTTGAATCTGCATTTCCTATTGACATAATGTCAAGAGTCTTTTCAAGTGCTCAAAAATGTATCTTCTCTGCAGAGGAATCAATTAAGATCCTTGGACCACTTTTTAAATCAAGTTATTGGTTTTCTTATTGTTAAATTTTCAGAGTTCTTTTATATTTTGAATAACAGTCATTATCAGGTATGTGTTTACTAATATTTTCCCCAGTCTGTGGCCTCTCTTTTTACTTTCTTGACAATATCTTTCACAGAGCAAAAATGCTTAATCTGAATAAGATCCAGTTTATCGATTCTTTCTTTTGTGGATCATGACTCTTGTGTTGACTCTAAAAAGCTGTCACCAAATCCAACGTCATCTTGGGTCATATTTTCCAAGTTATCTTTTTAGGAGTTTTATAATTTCATGCTTTTACACTGAAGCGTGTGATTCATCTTGAGTTAAGTTTTATGAGGGTCTAAGAGCTATGTCTAGATTCATTTAGACCATGTGGCGTCCAGTTGTTCTAGGACCACTTGTTGAAAGAACTCTCTTCTTCAGTAGTGGAAAGGAAACAAGGGAAGGGAGGCAGGAGGGTAGGTTCTGGGAACTGAATATGAACCAATTATATTCCATGCATTTAAGTCAAAATGAATCCTAATGTATGCACAACTAACATGAACCAATAAGAACAGAACTATCTTTCTCCACTGTATTACCATTGCTCCTGGCAAAGATCAGCTGACTATATTTATGTGGATCTCTTTCTGAACTCTGTATACTATTCCACTGATCTATTGGCCTATTATTTTGGCAATTCCACACTTTCTTGATTACCACAGAATCATGGAAAGTCTTCAAGTAGAGTAGTGTCAGTCTTTCAACTTTGTCCTTCCCCTGGCTGTTGGCCATTCTGGGCCTTTTGTCTCTTGATAAAAACTTTAGAATCAGTACATCAATGTTCACAAAATCAACTGCTGGGATTCCCTGGGTTTGCGTTGCATCTCTGTAGCCCACTGGGAACAAAGGACAGGACAACACTCAGCCTTCCTCTCGTTGAGAAGGGATTTCTCTTCATTTATTCGGTTCTTTGGTTTTAAATCTTCCTCCTATAGAACTTCTACAAATCCGTTAGCCTCATACTTAAGTATTTTGTTTTGCGGATGCTAATGTAAATGTTAATACATTTTTAACTTCAAATTCCATTGCTTGTACATGAAAAGCAACTGATTTTTGCATACTGGCCTTGCAGCCTACAGCCCTTCCACAACTGCTTTAGAACAAATGTTCCTAGAGGGGTTTTTTTGTCAATTCTTTTGGATTTTTAACATCTTGTCATCTGAAAACAAAGATTACTCACTTCTTCCTTTCCAATCTGTACCCTTTCACTTCTAGGTCTTATCTTGGATTAGTGGACTCCCAGTATAATGCTGAAAAGAGAGCTGGTGACAAGTGATATCCTTGCCTCATTCCTGAATTAATAATATTTTTTTAAATATTTGTTTTAGGGCTGGAGATGTAGCTGAGTTGGTAGAGTGCTTGCCTGGCATGCAAAAGGTTCTGGGTTCAATCCCCAGCACCACCAGAAAAAGGAAAAAACTAAAATATTTGTTTTAGTTGTAGATGGACACAATACTTTTATTTATTTTTTTTTATGTGATGCTGAGGTCTGAACCCAGTGCATTACCATGCTAAGTAAGCGCTCAACCACTGAGTCAAAGCTCTAGCCCCAAATTAATAGTATTGTGATGCAAGGCAAAAAAAAAAAAAAAAAAAAAATCACTAGATTCCAGGCCCCAAAATAGCCACGTAGCCTCTGCCTGAGACTCCTCCAAAGATCAAAGAACCCGATTTTCAAAACCTTTAAAGGGCCAAAGGGCCATAGCCATATCCTCTCCAAGGCCCAGACAGCCCTCTCAGCAGCCTGAAAATCACTACTGAGCACACACCAAGATCTGGAGGTCCACGTCTGACATCTTTGAATGTCTCAAACAGCTGAAAACTAAGAAGCACGCAAAAGTGGCTTCTGAATGTTTAAAGCAACTGACACAATTTCCATGTACAAAGCTCCTGAAAATGACGGGACGCCTCAGGGTCTCATCTAAAATCACTTCAGAGAGGGAAAGGGGAAGTGTGGGGGAGTGACATTGGCCAATGACACTGTGTGCCTGTTCAAATAGATAACAAATCCCATCATCATGTATGACCATAATGCACAAATAAAAAATATGGAAAGAAAGAAATAAAATAAAATTACTTATGAGGCATAATCTAAGAGGCTTATGTATCTGGCTTCCTGGCCCACAACAGGTCTGAATGCGGTGGCGGAAAGGAAGGCACACGGCTATCAGCACTGAGTGACAGGGAAGGTCTGACAGCAGCGACAACTGCCAAATCACGAGGGACCGACAACCATCAGAGTCTGGAGAGGGCCATCGACTGCAGAGAAAGACAAGCAGTGCTGTTAACGGCGACTCTGAAACATCCAGAGAGAGGGGACAAGGCCACAGGGAACATGGGCACATCAAACATGCACTCTACCAGGGAGTCTAAGAGGACCTGTGGGCAACCTGGAGGCAGAGGCTCAAGGACAACTTCTAAAAGCACATTTAGTATGACTTTATATTCAGGAGGTACCTACTATTTTCATAAGATGATAAAAAGTAGAAAATTATAGATTCTTCTAGGTTTGTTAAAAAAAAATCTCCAGCCCAGGGCAGTCTATTTCTATCACTGCTTCTCACAGGGGGGATGCCCACAGGAGCGAGGCAGAATAATCAGAATAGGAAGAAAGATTTTTAATTAAAAGAGGAACTATTTTTAAATGCTTTTATATATATATACATATTTAGTTGTTGACGGGCCTTTATTTTACTTACTTATTTATTTATATGCAGTGCTGAGAATTGAACCCAGTGCCTCACACATGCTAGGCAAGCACTCCACCACTGAGCCACCACCCAGCACCTTTAAATGCTTTTTAAATGCATTTTGTCCAAACACTGTCCGATGTGGTCCTTAACACATGCACGTCAAATACCAAAGACAATTATAAAATAAATAAGGGAGGGTATAAGCTCTCAGAGAGAGAAAGGCTTCTGCTAAAATGTCCACCCATCTTTAGCAAATGGGTTAAACATATACATATTGGAATGGGAAACAGAGACCCGGGTAAAGTTTAATTATATAGAAAAATCTGTCATAGTACTGGAATAAAGAAATCAAGAGTCCAAAAAAAAGAAAGAAATCAAGAGTCTCTGTGGAGACGGAATGACTCTGTACCTGGACACATGATGAAATATGACAGAACTACACACACATTGTACCAAAGTCAAATTTCCTGGTTTTGGGTCGGCGCTGTAGATATGAGATTATTGGGGAAATCAGATGGAGTGCCCGCACAGGCCGTCTCTATGATGCAACTTCCTATGAATCTATATTCACTCCAAAAAGATTTTTTAATGTTTTAACATTTTTTAAAAAGGTGTTTTGTCCAAAACCTCTGAAAAGCTACTTGATGTGTAAAAGACAACCCTGCAGATAAACGCTGAGTGTTAAGCTTATTTACTCTACTATAAACATTTCTTCTGCCCTTGTTTTGAAACCAAATATCCTCATCTGAACACCGAAGACAGGGACAAGGAAAACTGAACTGGGATCTTCTCCTTGCTAGACAGTGTCTCCTTCCCGGGTAGCAACGTGTCATGACACAACCCAGGACAAACGACAGAGCCTGGGAACTCACAGATGTAGTCCTTCACAGCTTTCTCAAAGAGCTCATAGACGTGCTCGCGGTCCAGGCCATCCAAGGCCATGCTGATCTCGTCATGCAGCCACTCCAACCAGAGTTCTAGAAGACAACACAGCGCCGCGTTACCACCTCCACCAAGGACGGCTGGGAGGGGACTTTATTCAGGGACAAACATCTTATCCACTTTAATTACACAACCTGAACCACTTCACAGACGTTCAATTCTTTAAAGAAAAAAAAAGTTTTTGAACTTTTTATTTATGTTTTATTTTTAGACAGGGTCTACTTAAGTTGCCCAGGCTGCCCTCAAATTTGCAATCTTTCTACCTCAGCTTCCTAAATTGCAGGGATTAGAGGCATATGCATGGCACACAGCCAGAAATTCAATTCTTAAAAGCTGAACCAAGCACACCTGTTTTATTCTTTCAAATAAGATACTCATCAAAGTCATAACTGGTTGTGCAGTGGCGCATGCCTACAATCCCAGTGGCTCGGGAGGCTGAGGCAAGAGGAGTGAGTTCAAAGTCAGCCTCAGTAACAGCAAGGTGCTAGGCAACTCAGTGAGACCCTGTCTCTAAATAAAATACAAATAGGACTGAGGATGTGGCTCAGGGGTCAGTGCCCCTGAGTTCAATCCTTGGTTCCCGCCCCCCTCAAAAAAATCATAACTGCCCATACCTGTTGGGCATTTTGTATTTTGCAAAACACACACACACACACACACACACACACACATATACACACACATATGTATTTTCTCATTCAATCTTCATCTCAATCCTATAAAGTAGGTGACAGTAACATTAATAATAATGGCACTACCTAGTGATGTACGACCATGGGTTAAGTGGTGAACACAGACTGGCTCATCTTGTGTTACATGGTGCAAGATAGAAACTACTGCTACCCTCCCTCTACTGCAAGTAAAGGGAGACTTAAACTGAGTGCGAGGTTGTTCAAGTGATTTGCTCAGATCTCATAAGGAAGGCCTCTGGGCATCCACACCCAACAGTTACACTGCAACAGGAAGACAGGGACAGAGCTAGATCTTGGGCCAGGGCTTTCTGACTTCTGCCCAAATGAGCACTTATGAATGTTCATGAAGAGTTAACTCCAAAGTGGCTCAGCGCAACCATGTTTCTAATAAACAAATATGCAGAAATCACCTACACCCACAACAACAGTGAACAGTTAAGTATGACACATTTGCATGAAAAACTATAAAAGCTGAATTACATTTATAATTTCTGGTTCTTAGAGAATAGGTTAAACACATACATACTGGAATGGGAAAGAGACCAGGGTAAAGTTCAATCACATAGAAAAATTGTATCACAATATTGGGATAAATAAATCGAGATTCAAAATGTGAATCTGTAGTGTGTGATCACACTGTGTTTTACAAAAACTACAAGACAACCAGCCCAAACTAGCCGACCCTGAGGGCGGGCTTTCTTCCGTTCACTGTGCGATAGTGCCAAGCTTCCTGTGAGGAGCACGTCCCACTTTCAGCACTAACAGCAGTCCCCGGCTCTCCCTGCTCCAGAGCAGCCCCCCCCCACAGCAGCCTACCTTCAGTCAGGGGAAAGATCTCGCTCATCTTCTCGCGGGCCACCCTCACTTTGGTAAGTTCCCCCTCCAGGCGCAGCAGCCTGATGAGGTCCACGTGGCAGTTGTAGTCATACACGTTGATGGACAGCTAGAAGGAAAAGTGACCAGCTGAAACTCAAAGTGCTCCCTTCAGGACAAAAGCTTGTCTCCACATGGGTACCTGAAGCCAAATACACGTGCCCTCAGAAGACAGGACAAAACAGGAGGCACTTCTGTAACCAACACAGCCCTCCCATTCTGAGAAGACCGGGGCTGGGCTCAGTGAGAGCGCTCGTCTGGCATGTGGGAGGCTCTGGTTCCATCCTCAGCACCACATAAAAATAAATTAACAGAAAAAAGGTCAGTGTCCATCTACAACTAAAAACTTTTTTAAAAAAGTAAGACACTAGGGTTCTTGCTAAGATAAAGAAGACATTCTAATGAAACAAACAAAAGTGTGTATCCTTAGGCAAGTAATTAACTTCCCTAAGCCTCCATTTCCTCATCTATAAAATGGGTACACTGTTAGATTTTAGCTCAGAAGCCTCTTCTGGGGATTTAAAAAGGCAATTTAGCACATGCCAACTGCATTATAAGTCTCTTTTATTTTACTAAACAACAACAAAAAAAAAAGATGAAAATTCCTGTTAAAGAAATAAGAATGACAAGAGGCTGGTGTGGAGATCCACCTTGGTCATTTTGCCCCCCCAACCCTAGCAGACAAAGACGTTAAGGCAGAGGGCAAGCATACTGTGCCAGCCATTTACGCCTGGCCTGTTTCTCAACTCATATCAGATATGTTAATAGTTTGTGAGAGGCCAAGTACACTTGGGTTGGCCACCAACCACCTTTATCTGGCTTAGCATATAAACACCTTCCTCCTGCCTTGGGGTACAGGGATCCAACTACCAAGAAACCCTTCTGTCCATAAGTCCCCGATAAACCGCACTTGATTCAACCCTGGATCTGTGTGGCTCTTTCTTCAGCATCCCGGCCCCTCCCGCCTTGAGCAGCCAGTTCCCACACACCAGGACTGGGTTTGTCCAAAAAGCTGCTATCTGCTGAAGCCGAGTGACAGGTTCGAGTGACAGGTATGTGAAGATCTATTTTCACATTTGAAACTTTTCAAAAGTTTAAACAAAACTTTTTAAAGCTAGCATACATCAGAGACAAAGGAAAGACGTAAACAAACTTTTTAGCAGACCTAACCTTAAAGAGCAGCCAATGAGTGTCTTCAAACAGGAAGGAAATGGGAAAAGAAGGAACCTGGAGCCCAGAAGGGGAGGAGGAACAGAAACAGGAGAGAGCACAAAGGTGTCTGGGTCCTCCCTGGAGTCTTGTGAATGGTACGTGAGGAGGAGACAAATTAACTAGTTAGTAAGTGACAGACACAGGAGGAGGGGTGACTCCCACACCACACCAAAGTCCACACTATACCAGGCAGTCGGAACAGCCAAGCAACCACTGAGAAAACCACCAAACACATCAAAATCACTGTAACTGAATCAATATGGTAGTCTAAGAACATTCCTATAACCCACAGGAAGAAAAGAAACAAGAATGAGACCCAGAAGAAGCAAACAGAAAATTTTAAAAGTAGGTTTTAGAGCTAGCATATCAATAAACCAATCATCCATACACATTAATTAAAGGGCAGAAAATGATCAGATGCCATGGTACATGCCTGAATTCCCAAGGACTCAAGAGGCTGAGGCAGGAAGATGTCCATGTCTGGGGCCAGCCTCAGCAACTTAGTGAGACCCTTTCTCAAAAAGTTCTGGGGATGGAGCTCAGCAGTAGAGCACCCGTGGGTTTAATCCCCAGTACCATTAGGGAAAAAAATACTTCGGACCCCCCCCCAAAAAAAATAGAGACAAAAAGGGACAGTACATAATGATAAAAGGAACAACATAGTTTTCTATCAAGCTACCAGGAAGACACCAATCCTAAATGTGTATGTACCAAACACCAACAACTTAAAATACAAGAAGTCAAACTGGTGCAGCCCAAAGAGGAGACACAGCCACAATTTCATCTGAGGACTTTTCAACACCCCTCCAGCAACTACCAGACAGAAAATCAGCAGGAAGACTCAAGAACTCCACACCATCAAGCAACATATAAATACACCTAAAATGAGGAACATGTAGAAACTTTAAAAACATTTACATTCACTCCCATGGATTTAAATGGAAAACATAAAATTATAAAATCTGCAAAAAGAATACAGAAGAAAACCTTCTGACCTACAGCCAAGCAGAGTTCCTAGACTTGACGTCAAACGCATAATGATAAACTGGCCCTCTTCAAAATTAAAACTTCTCCTCTGTAAAAAGGCATCCTTAAGAAGAGGAGAAGACGAGCTACAGAAGGGAAATAGCTGCAAATGAACTAAGAATATCTATAGCTATAACTCTGAACTCAACAGTTTAGAAACAAACTTTTAGCATTCCAATTAGAAAACAGGCAAAACAGCATTTCACCAAAGAGGCCGTGCAGAGAGCAAATAAGCACGCCGAGCGCCAGGGCACAACAGCACAGCCACCAAGCAAGGCAGCCGCGAGTAGCTAATACACAGGGATAACACCAAATGCCAGCGAATACGACAAAAAATCTGCTCATAACCTCACACGCTGCTTGTAAAATAAAACAGGCAAAGGGTTTAGCAGCTCCTGTGAAACTCAAAGGACAACTCCAAGCACACGCTTGGCTATTTCCCCAGGGAAATAAAAAGCACGCTCACACAAACACCCGCACACAAACAAAATAAAATAAAAGGTACTGTGCCATGACAACTAAAAATATATATAGTTAAAAAAAAATCCAAACCAGAAACAACTGGGCGTCTTTCAAAGGTGGCTGTTGAGCCGGCTGTGGTCCATCTGCGTCCTGGAACATCCTCAGTCATAGAGGGAACAAGCTAGTGACACACACGACTCCGAGGAATCAGGAGGGAATCCTGCTGGGTGAAAAAAGCTAATCCCAAAGGTCACCGCTGCTCTGATTCTGTCTGCATAACACTCTTGAAATGGCAAAGTGGTTCTGCATGAGAGGCAACCACTGTGACTTCCATGCTATCAGGTTTGACAGAAAAAATATGATGATCTCAATGCAAAAAAGGCATTTGATAAAAATGCCCATTCATGATTAAAATGTTTAAATGACAAACCAGAAACAGAAAAGCACCTCCTTAATCTGTCAAAATATTTACAAAAATCTACAATAAACATAACTAATGAAGAAACATTAGAAGAAATTCTTTTAAAAACAACAAAGATACCAGTATCACCTTTTATTCAACCCTAGCTAGAGGTCTGAGGCTCAAACAAAGGATGAAGAAAAATTAATCACAAAAGAGAGAAAAGGATAAGAATTATACATGACATGACTGAAGAATAAACTAAAGTTTATCTACGAATAAACCATTCGAAATTATAAATATAATTAGCACTGTGACATTGAGAGCAATGTATAAAAATCAATTACACATAAAGACAAATATGTCTGATCCCACTTATGTGACTGTCTAATGAAGCCAAACTCATAGAAACAGGACAGGGTGGTGTTCCCAGGTTCGGAGGGAGGGAAAGAGGGCGTAGCTGCTTAATGAGTATTGGGCTAGAGATCTGTAAGATGAAAAAGCTCTGGAAATCTGTTTTACAACATGAATATATTTAACACAATCAAATTGCACCTTTTAAAATGTTTGTTTTCTACTACAATAAAATAATCAATCACACTCGTATAAACCAGCAAGTTTTAAAATATAATTTGAAATAGTCTAGCGTATTACAAAGCACCTAGCTCTACATCTAATGAGAGATGTCTGAGATCCATACTGAGAAATGTTTTTAGATCTTATTGAAAAATACCATTATAAAGACCTAGATAAATGAAGTTATACACCATTCCTGGATTCAAGAATCAATATAGCAACTTACGGTAAATAATCCATAAATTCAACACAATGCAAATAAATAGCCCAACAGACCTTGGCACATATATCTAAAATTATGTGGGAAAAACAAAACACATCTCAAGAAAAAAATCAAGTAGGAGGATACCTTATATGAGGTAGTGAGTCTCAGCTACAAGAAGTTAGACTGGAACTGCACAAGATAAATGACCCACTGAAGAGCAGCAAGAGCCCAGAAACAGACTTATACAGACAAATAACACACAACAGAGGTGACCATTTGTATCTGCTGAGGTGCATCCAGGACCCACAACACTGACCCCAGTGTGAAAAAGAGGAGTTAGAGAAACACTTACATGTGAGGGGACGCTGATAATATTCAAGAAGAATATATTATCAGATAATAAAGAAGAATCAGTAATAGATAAGAACATAGTCAATAATTTAAAAAATCTGAGACTTGAGGCAATGGTGTTCTGCTCAGGATTCACAAGTCCTGACAGGCCCAACCCATCCCATGACCACGTGATGGCTTGAAAAGGCTCTGGCCCAGGTGAGGACACAAGTGATCCAGGCCACAGGTCCTCAGCTTCCTCGCCTGTGCCATGAAGGAGCAGAGTCAAGCTCTGGTTCTTACGGGTCTTACCAAGTGTCAGGAGTGTCACACAAAATGCAGCGGTGGTATTGTGTTGAATTTATGAGGCTGGTAAAGATATGCTTTCCCCACTATCAGCACTGTCACGGCACCTGGGCCTAAATGGGCTTTTGAAGGGGAACAGGAGGGGACAGTCCTTACTGGTCAGTGTCAGGAATGTCTGCGAACGTGCCCCTCACATCAGTACCATGAGCAGGCTGGCAGAAGAAAGGTCACTAGAGAAACTGCCTTTACAGTGGCTTTTGTCTGAACGACTTACTTTTAGGCCAAACTGAGGACCTGCCTACAGGGGAAGGGAGAAGTATTCTGGAAGTATGTGTGTTAAATATCTACTGAATTGCACTTACAAGAAACACCTTCTCTTAGTTCAATCAATACTAACAAAAGAGTGCACATGCTAGTCTAGTCCAGGCTCAGAACATCATTAAAGACATAAGATGCTTTAAAAAAAGAAGAGCTTAGCCAACCAATGCACAAAATAATCTGCTGATTTCCAGCTCCCACCAGTGGGAAAAGATGCCACGCCCACCTGCACCTAGAAGGGGGGAGAGGGAGGAGAGGACTAGAGCAACACCTACTAGGTGCCCAACTGTGTCAGAGCCTTAGAGGCACTGTGTCACTCAAGCTCCCAAACCACCCTGTAAGGAAGATAAAATATTCATTCACTTTACCAACTAGGACACTCACAGCAGGTTCAGACAGCGGAAACATCGTGTCCAACTGGCCTTCCCACTCCTGCAGGGAAGGCCTGGATTCACAGATGGTTGCGAAGCCTTATCTTTGTCCTTCACCAGGCTGCTCAGACAAATCCACCTAAGGCACCATGAGATGCCATTTTTAGTTTGCGCACAGACACGAATAATGGGAAACCTGTGCCTTTGTCAGTGGACAGATATATTTCAAGAGACAGCTCTCACAAAGCACAGTCAGGGGCGGGAAGCAGGACTCACCAACACGACAGGGCTGGCCGAGTTTTTCAGAACTCTATTTGGAAGTTATTGATTAGGCTTCACCCTCAGGGCAGTGACAGCTGGACTGGAGGCTCCAGGAGGGCACAGGATTAGAATAAAGTGGGAGAGGGTTGAGAAACATTGGAAAAGTCCATTTCTAAACCCCAGCACGAGAGGATTAGGTCCAAGACTAATTCACCATCACTTGCTACATCCCATCTTGTGTGGTCACTTCTGAGCCCCTTGCCGCCCTCGGAGAGCTGAGGTGGGGAAGGAACCACAGGGCACCAGTACCAAGAGACCTCTGCTCTGACCCATCTTCCTTCCTGTAACCAAGTAGCTTCACCAAAGACTTCTCTGGTTCCAACTTCCCCTTCCTTCTGAAACAAGTGATCCTATTTCTCCACCTCACAGAAAGGCAATTATTTCAGTAAGCACAGGGACACAGTCAGTCTGTCACCCCATGTCACTGTATTTGATGAATGAATAAAACCAAATGTGCTTCACCATGCTTATTTACAAAAAAAAAAAGTAGAGGCCATAGCCACATGCCTGCCCCAGCTGGTTCCTTTAACAATCAGATGAGATGACAAGTGGGACCAACTATAACAATGGATGTCACTATTGCATAACTTAACAAAAGTATCACTGTCTCACCCAGCAAGGTGAAGTGAGTAGCCTAGGTTAGTCACAACTACACACCACTGAATGAAGGCACACCCAGTGTGGCATTTGGTCCTCAGGTCCTTTGAGATTTCAAATCCCGTTATGAGTGACTTTAATCAAATCATCTCATCATTCGTTACCTTATTTCTTCATCTGCAAAATGAGAATGTGCTCCAATCTCTTTGGGTTCAACACCTCCAAACCTGCTCTTTCCTCTCACCCCTGTCCTGTGACCCCAGAAGTACAATACATTTTCGGTTTCTTGGCTCTCTGGCTCCCAGTTGGGTTTGCCTTACAGGAGACACCAGCAGAGGTTTGGAAGGAGGAAAACAGAATTTATGGCATTTCTACCCCGACCAAGGCATCAACAGCTTTCAAGGTGCCCTCTCCACTCAAGTACTTGGGTAACCAATCATTCCCTTCACCTCTTCAGGCCTGAAAGAGGGGAGAGGTCCTCCTGCTACCAGGCTTGGTGTACCGAGCCTTCACTCCGGGTTCCCCTGCCCACTCCTTCATAAGCACAGTCGTCCCTTTATTGCTCTCAAATCAAGCTAATTTCTCCCAGGATCCAGGATTACACAGGAGAATTCACCACCTTTCAAGGTCACAGGTCAGAAACCACCCTGCTGCTCGGTACCAAGTGACCACTACACAATGCAGAAACGGTGGCTCCCGACCTGCAGAGCTTAAGGAACGGCTGGCCCCAGGACGCGCAGGCGGGAGGGGCCTTGGGCTTCCAGACTCGGAAACCGCTTTCCCATCCTACTATGACCTCGGTCGCTATTTCTCCTCCGACACCGTACTTCGTCCCCGTCGTTGATCCTACAGGGAAATCCACCTCTTAGGAACTAGCTTTATTTCGACTGTCGAGCCCGGGGCAACCGCGTGGCAGAGACTCGAGTTCGGGTCTTCTTAAGAGCCCAAGCAAAGCGTGCAGGAGGCGCTGCCCCCAGCCAGACTCCCGAGCCCCAGTCCGATCTCGTAACCCCGGGCTGACCCCACTCCTCATCGGGTGCTGCCGAGGACTCGGTGGGATCGCGCAGGCCAAACACCGGACACGCTCTAAGCCCGAGCCACACGCGCCTCGGTGGCCGGCAGCGGTTTCGCGGCCTTGGCGGGTTTTACTGCCGCCCCAGGACCAAGAAGGCGGGACGGGGCTTGGGGCCTGGGGCCTGGGGCGGGAGGGAAGCAGCCCACCTGCTCCTCCAGCCGCTCGATCTCCAGCTGGTTCTTCTCCTCCTCCTCGTCGTACTCCCACTCGTAGTCTCCGGCGGAGCTGTCCGCCGAGGAAGCCATGGCGTACTCCTCATCCCCATCGCTCTCGCTCACACCTTCCTCCTGCTGCTCCCACCCTGGCCCCATGGTCTTGTACGTCGCGGCGGCTACAGCCCGCGAGAGCACTTTCCGCCTCGTCCTAGCTGCCTTAACTTCATCTTCCTCTCCCTCAGCCTTGGGCCCAGCCGGGGGCTCAGCCTCCGGCTCCGAAGCCGAAGCTGCGGCCGCTGTCGCCATCTTGCGTTTCCAGTGACTCTCGGGTCTTCCCTCGGCCGCCGAAGACCCGCGGAAATAGAAGCTGCCTAAGGCGTCCGCCTGACTAAAACCCCGCTTTCTTGCCACCGAATGAGAAACTGAGAGCCTTGGGTGACAGGAAAATTAGTAAATACAGGAAATTCATATTACTTTTATGTATCGCTAAAGGTCCCTGTCAGAAAACAATCGACTAACGCAGCCATGTGTGCCGCCACAACCCCGGACAGAAGTTGGGTCTTTGGACAGGAAGTGGAGGCCATAGAGGAAGTTACAGGGGGAGCGTGATGTATGTCGTTAAGGGTTTTACACCATCTTGAGAAGGTCAAAATGATTCTTGGAACAAATGCTTTACTTAATGCCTAGTGAGCCCTGGAGTGTGATTCAGTCCCAGCAACTAAGCCTCAAATGCAGAGAAAAAGTCCAAGTCCTTAGGGAAGGATCGGCTGCCCTATTCATGAGAAAAATCCGTTTTCCAAAGAGATTCCTCTCCTTTATGTAACGCCTGGTACCTAGTAGGCGTTAAATATGTATGTGAATTTTCCGGTTTTATAAGACCATATTCTGCAAGACAATACTAATAAATTACATTAATAAGCATTGCTTTAGAAAATGTTAATTGCCGTGCACTGTCGTATAAATCGTGACTGGTTGCTGTTATTTTATAGGGATATTAAACAAATAGACCTTTTCTTTTAATCAACGCGTGATGTTCGTTTTCTACTTAATTAAACTTCCCATTTTTTTAAGTAGGAAAGTACTGGTGTTTATTTATTGCCTTTAATCTTCATTATCAAACTTAATGGAGAAAGAAGAGCCTTGACACACAGTAGGTACTCGTATTTGCGATGATGGAAGAAAACACTGTCCTTGAATTGGTACAAAAGAGAAGATCGAGGCTTAGCGAACCGACGTCATTCACCTAGGGTCACGTAACTAGGAAGGAGCTGAACCCGGATTCTAACCTAGGATTATACAAGTTCAAATCCCAAGCGAACCTAACTCTTTGAACGACCTTGGACAAGTTACTAAACAGCTCTGAACTTCAGCTTCCTTCACTGCAAAATAGGGTTAGGAAAGGCGGACTGGGTGATCCTCTGCGCCACGTTCCAGCAGTGGGTTTTTTGAACGTGGACGTGGGCCCGGTGCTGCAGCAGCCTGAGAATTCCCACGCAGAATCCAGTGCCCAAGACCAGCCTCCAGCGACTGCACACCTTCGCGCTGCAACCTGTCCGCGCCCGCCCAGAGGCGTGGTCAAAGCGGGGCCAAAACGCAGAGCGGGAGGGCGCAGGCGCAAAGTCGGTGACGTCAGAGCGACTCGCGGGCGAGCCCTCCCGTCGGAGTAGTTCGGGGCCGGCGCAGGCGCAAGCCGGCAAGATGGCGGCGGCTGGAGCAGGTCGTCTGAGGCGAGCGGCATCTGCCCTGCTGCTCCGGAGCCCGCGCCTGCCTGCCCGGGAGCTGTCAGCTCCGGCTCGGCTCTATCACAAGAAGGTATGGGTGGGCGGGGGCTGCGCGGACCACTGAAGGGACCCGGGCGCCCGACGGGTCACTGGGCCGGGAAGGGCGGCCCGCTCCGGTGCCGCTGCCTGGACGGCCTGTCCCGGCCGCGTAGTGACACTGTCCGCGGCTCCCGTGCGAATTACAGCTGCTGCTGCTGCTGCCCCGGCTCCGTGACCCGGGCGAGCGACGGCCTCTGGCTGCACCCGCTTCCCAGAGGGGAGGGAGAGGTCCTGGGTGCCGAGGGGGCGCCGCCGGCCCGACGCGGGGACAGTCCGCGGTGATGCTGCGTAGGGGGCCGTGGCCTCCGAGGGCATCGGCCGGCGGCCCAGGAGCACGGCGCTTCCTGTCGTTTGTTTGGGGTTAATTTTTGCTTCTCAGTGCGGGGAGGAGGGCTGGGTGCCCCGTTTGCAGCCCCCTGCCTTCCGGGGCGTCAAGTCCCCGTAACCAGAGACCCCCTCGGAAAAGTGCTGCGGAGTCCACGAGGCGCTAGGTGCCCCGGGAAGAATGCCTCGAGGGTCCTCGGGACCTGCAGTCCAGATCCTTGGTCCAGGGGACAGTGGGGGCGACTAGAAGATGGGGTACTTATTGCCATCTGGCAAGCAACCCTCAAGGTCACCAGAGGATCGGCTGTGCCCGTTTGGAAGGAACATTTGTGCTGGACATTTGCTTCGGCACTTTTGCAAGGACCTGATCCTCCCCACCCGGGGGGCGTGTCGCGTTCACATCGCAGGTTGCCAGCTCTGGGCACCAGGGTGCGCTGCGGCCTGCAGGTTCGCCGCCCTGACCTGCAGCGATGGCGCAGTTTTAAATCTACACCAACCTGTTCATTCCATAGCGGTGTTCCTTCTGTAGAACTGTCGCCTTGATGTTTCCAAGCAAGCCTTTCATTCCCGGACCACAGTTATTTCTAGAAGTTTTAAATAAGCATTATCCTTTAAGGATGGGTTTTATTTGAACACAAACACTGTTTGAGCCCCAGTCTGGTGATACAGATGTGCAAAAGTCAAGTGATTATTTGTGGTTGAAAACCCTGTGGAACTAAGACATGACTTGATTGATTGATTGATTGATTTTGGCAGTATCTCCTACAGTGTCTCTAATCTCTAAAGGTAGTTGGAGAGGACATACAAAAAGAGTTTGGGTCACAAATGGCATTGACATGAGTGTTGGCCTTCCTCTTCTTCCAGGTACAAGTTGCTGACATCAAGGTAGACCAGTAGAAGAGCGCCATCATGACTCCTCTCAACCCTGTCATTTCAGGTTGTGGATCATTATGAAAATCCTAGAAATGTGGGGTCCCTTGACAAGACATCAAAAAACGTTGGAACTGGATTGGTGGGTGCGCCAGCGTGTGGTGATGTTATGAAATTACAGGTACCAGCTGATTGGTCTCTGATGACAATACTAGGAATCCCTTGGCTTACACAGTGTTTCATAGCTGATAAAGCATTTGTACATACAGTGTTTCATTTCATCACCTTCCTTCCATTGAGATGGGAGGAGTTGGTGTTACAAATGATTAGAACAGGGACTTAATCTAGTTCTGCTAGTCAGGTATGCAGACCTTTTCTGAAGTAGGAAACTAATCTCACTTTTCTAATCACTGTGTTAATTTAAATTCCACCTTCAGCTGGGTGAAGTATTGTGTGGATTTTGCAGTCCCCAGTGAGATAATAAGTGCAGTAAACCAAACATCTTCCCATATTGAAAGTAACATGAAGGGGGCTGGGGATGTGGCTCCAGCAGTAGCGCGCTCGCCTGGCATGCGTGCGGCCCGGGTTCGACCCTCAGCACCACATACAAAGATGTTGTATCCGCCGAGAACTAAAAATAAATATTAAAAAAAAAAAATGCACAAGACCCTGGGTTCAATCCCCAATACTGCAAAAAAATAAATTTTAAAAAAAAGAAAGTAACATGAAGGTAGTGGATTGCAGTTTGGGTACACCATAGCTTTATCCAGTCTCCTTCTTTATAGTGGGTAGACTTGCCAGAGGTCTTCACACCTGTCTTGGAAAACAGAAAAATACTTAGGAGAGAATCTTTAAGTACAATTTCGTGCCCAAGAAAAAAATATTAACCAAAGACCTTGGTTGCAGACTCTCCCACGTTTGAGGAAACAGAGTGCCCAGCACCTGTGAGCAGGTGTCCTCACATAGGACTTCATAGCTTTAAAAAAAGAAAAAAGAAAGAAAAGCGGGCTGGGGTTGCAGGATTGCAAAGAAAACTAGGAGAGAGGGGCTTAGTTTTCCAGGTGACGGGTACCGGGGCCTGACAGTAGAATGCACTGTGACACATTGTACACAAATGGAGCACAGCTTCTCCTTCCTCTGGCTATGCCTGGTGCAGAGTCACACCATAGTGTGGTCATGCCTGTCTGTAGGGGAGTAATGTCTGCAGTGTTCCACCATCCTTATCTCTGAGCTCTTTGTAACAAGCAAAGTCACTGATTAATTCCAGCCTAGACAGCAAGCCCAGCTTGTAAGGAAGGTCCCCGTGAACCAGCTCCCGGGTTTCTAGAAGGTTGCCGCCAAATTCACTACGTAATTCTTGTCTCTTTTCTAGATTCAAGTGGATGAAAAGGGGAAGATCGTGGACGCCAGGTTTAAAACATTTGGCTGCGGTTCTGCAATCGCCTCCAGCTCATTAGCCACTGAGTGGGTGAAAGGAAAGACGGTAAAGCTGCTTGCTGACCTATTAGATCAAATCATGTTCTCTGCAACCTTGGCTCTCAGAGGTCCAGTGGGTCAAAAAAAGAAGTAAATTTTTTTGATTTCTTCAAAATATCCAAAAATTTTTATTTAGTTTCTCCCTGTCCAGATGTTGCTTATATTCCTCACATTAATGGACTATTTTGTGAAGTAGTGTTTGGGAGTATTTTGTAGTTGATGATCATTTTTATTTGGGGGTTTGATGGTGTTTTGTTAATTTTGTAGGAAAAAAAAAAAGTTCCTCACTGTCCATCTGACAAAATAGAATTGCAAAGAAATCTTTGACTCTATCAAAGGTCGCTGATGTTCTCATAGTTTCTTAGGAGTCTAAGGTCAAGGGGGTGTTGTGAAGTAGTTATTTTCTTGTTTATTTCCTCCCATCCTGTTTTAGGAAGGACTCTGAGAGTCCTTACAAAGATTGGTGAGCTAAACTAGTGTGTGTTAAAAGGGGTTTTAAAGAATCAAGAACACAGCAAGGGTTCGGGCCCAATGACAAATCGGTGGCTGGTCTGCAGGCCCTCTAAAGACAAGAAAGGGCCAGACATCTTTTGAATCCTTTTCTCTGTGAAGGGCTGGACTTTCTAAGTCCAGTTGCCATTAAAGCTGCTATGTCGAAACCAACCAGCAGTATGCACAAGGGGCCTGGTTCCTGGAGCTGAGTCATGAAGGAGACACTGGACGCGCTGGCCAGCTCCCCAGCAGAGCAGGGCCTGGGCCGCCCGCTCCTGTGCTTCAGGGCCTTCTGGCTGGCAGGCTCCTGTAGGCCAGGAGGGCACAGGCCAGGTCCATTCTAGTGGGAGATGACTCTAAAGAGGTTGGTCAGGAACTGTCTTCAGGGAAAGGGGAAATGAGACAAGGCAAATGTGATCCAAGTCCTTGGCCTCGAGGGGCTTCCTTTAACTTTGAGATCTTCTCATCTGCGTTTCTAGGACTAGCCAGAGACACTGGCTGCTGAGGACGTCTGGCTTCTCTTTCTGCAGTGGACCTCTCTGTTCTTTTTTTTTTTTGGGGGGGGGATGCAGGTACTGGCGGTAGAGGGGTACCAGCGATTGAACTCAGGGGCACTCAACCACTGAGCCCCATCCCCAGCCCTATTTTGTATCCTATTTAGAGTCAGGGTCTCACTGAGTTGCTTAGTGCCTCGCTGTTGCTGAGGCTGGCTTTGAACTCAGGATCCTCCTGTCTCAGCCTCCCAGCAGCAGGGATGACAGGCGTGCGCTACCACACCCGCCTGCTCTGTTCCTCTTGAGCAGGACCTGTCTGCCTCCAGTCTCCCCCAGGGTCCCGCCCAGACCACAGGCACCTTCTTCACCTGTCTGGAGGAGATTCTCTATTTCAGGCAGAGCATGAGTCTAACCTGAGCTCTCACCCAAGGACCTGCATAAGCAGCATAGAAATGACCTCCTTTTAAAAAAGATGCCTCAGCAGATCCCTCGGAGATGTCTCACGGGGTCTGCTGGCTGTGTGGTCTTGGTGTCTGTGCTCACCAGCCAGCAGCGCAGGTGTGTGTACGTGGACTGGAGAGGCCCCACTGCAGCTCTGGCACACGTGTGGAGTCTGAGGAGGCCGCAGCCCTGTTCTGAGTTGTTAAGCAGAAACTGCCCCCACCAACCTGTCTTGAGGGCCTTGGAGACCTTCCTTTTTTATTGTCTACCCTCAAAACAGTCACCGAAACTGCTTGTCTTTCCCCCGCCTCAGGTGGAAGAGGCCCTGACCATCAAAAACACAGACATCGCCAAGGAGCTCTGCCTTCCCCCCGTGAAGCTGCACTGCTCCAGTGAGTGCTCTCCACTGCACAGCAGGGACATGTGGCACTCATTTCAACTCGCGTTTGGGACAGAGTCCTTGTAGGTCATGGAGTCCCTCTGTACAGCCGTCAGGAGTCAGAGCTCAGTCAGTCTGTGCAGTTCAGAGGGTCGAGCTGGGTCCCTCAGCCAGGCCCTGAGTCCCACAGGAGGTGCTGGGAGCCGTGCCAGGCACCCGCTGGGCATCGTTCCAAGCCCACCCCTCAGGTGGAGCCACCTGTGTCACACAGCTAGTAAGTGGGAGAACCACGATTTAAGCCCAGTCCTTGATCACTGTGCTGTCCCCATCATGTGGTAGCAATAGGACCAACGGAGGAGAAAACTCAGCTGTAAGCCACATCCTGCGCCTTGCGTGTCTCATCCCTTCCTGTCTAGCGCCCACCCCGTCAGGTCTGCATCTGGCTGTGTGGAGGGACTTAAACCCAGCTGGGCCACGTCCCCTCCACTGTCCTGAGAGAAAGCCACACACCTTCAGGTTGACACTTGGCTTTCCAGTTCAGTTGCTAGGTCAGATCCAGTGCTTGTCCTGTCCCGTCCTGACCTCCTCAGGAAGGAGGGAATGAGGAGCAGTGAGTGGCCCCCCTAACGCACCATCAAGGTTTCTGACCAAAGCCGTTAAAACTTAGCAGAGAGCCGCTGCCTGGGCCAGGTGCTGGGGGGCCAGGGTCGGGGGCAGGAAGTCTGCTGAGAGCCCGGTTCTTCCCACTTGAGCTGGAATTTTAAGTACCCACAGAGAAGGTCGTTACTTGTAAACATTCACGGCCTCAGCGAGACTCAGCCTGTTTTTTTTAAGTTGTCGATGGACCTTTTATATATTTTTATTTATTCACCTGCGGTGCTGAGAAGCCAACCCAGGGCCTCCCCTGTGCCAGGCAAGTGCACCACCATGAGCCCAGCCCCAGCCCAACCTCGGCCTTTTGTTTGGCCTTTTAGCTACCAAGACCCTCAGCCATGCTCTGCTGTCACTGTCGCGTCCTCCCCGTGTCTTTTAATATCAGTTCTTGAATAAAGGCTTTCAAACTCGGCATCAGAAAAGGGTGACATGCAGGTGCCACCCCATCCACAGCCCAGCGTGACTTAGTTCAGGCCAGCTGGACTTCACCAGCCTCTGCCACGTTTAGTCCAGACCTCGTGGACACAAGCAGAAACCAGCATGTGTCGTGTCCCTAAGTGTCAGACATGTCAGACACGTCTCCACCGCAGGGAGAGCATGGCTGTCCCAGTGTAGAGGAGGAGGTAGACTCCAGTCCCAGGCAAGTCAGCCCCAGCCTGTCTGCAGAGCCCCACGGGGGCCACTAAGTGGGAAGCGACTGGCCACCTACCTGAGTCACTCTGTCTAGCCCCCGCCCCGCACCTGTGCCCTTCGGGTCTGTGAACAGGCTCTTCCTTCCATGCCTTGCAGTGCTGGCCGAAGACGCCATCAAGGCCGCCCTGGCCGATTACAAACTGAAACAGGATCCCAAGAAAGGAGAGGCAGAGCAGTGAGCCTCGGTGCCTCTCCAGAGACGTCCACCCACCGCCGAGCACGTACTGGAGACGTCCAGAAGCTTCCCAGGCCGCAGGAAAGCCGCACAGCATTTGCCGTTCACAGTGTGACTGAGGCAAGCAAAATACACCCTTTAACCGTTCTGAGTCCTGTGGTTTCTTTCAGCTCGCTCGTGTTGCCTTAGCGCGCAGTGTGTGCTTTGAACTGTGTGTGGCCGCAGGACCGAGCTCAGCAGCGCAGTCTTAGGTTCTGACGCCTGTGCTGTGCATCAAGACTTAATTGTATCTAAACCTATTTGGGGGACAATTTACCCATGGAATGCCTTGGTCTGACTGTTTGGTAGAGCTGACTGTACATAAAGCAGATCTGTAGCTATGCAGCCGTGGGTGCACTTATGTATGTGTATATAAAACAAATAAACAATGCAGGACGATGGTTTCTGTGGCGAGCCTCGTCTCTTGGACCCTTACCCTGGGCACTGCCTGCAGCCTGGACCACGAGGACGTGCAGCCCTCCCACCATCGGGCAGTGACGTGGGCTGTGGCAGGTTCTCCCCCAGGAGACAGCTGTGGAGCACATCCCCCACCAGGGGCTCTGGGTGGCCTGTGCTTGCTTTCTCCACCCTCCCCCCACCAGACAACCATGTCGACAGAGAGGCAACAGCTGGGCAGTGAGTGTGGAGTACTGGACCAGAGGCCAGCTGCCACTGTGACCTTGAACCAGAGACTTAGCCTTCTGGTGGTAAGTATGACTGACAGAAGTCACTCCTACTCTGGTGGAGTCCACTATTAGATGAGATAATGCGGATACAGCACGTGCCCATCAAAAGAGTTCATTGTCCTATGGCGGCTGCCATTATCATGGGTGGCACTGCAGGCCTGCTGGGTGCTTTATATAGACCACCTCATTTCCTCTTTGCAGAAACCCTAGAGGCTACAAGTATCCCAAGAAACTCAGGTGCTGAGCACTGTGTCCAAGATCAAGGTCACACAGTCAGGAAGCAGTGTGGGTGGGTTCTAGCCCAAGGCTGCAGATCCAGAGCCCACACCCTGGGCTGGGTATGTCCCTGTCATCCCTGCTGTCCCTCACTATTACCGTGAGCCCTGGCAGGAGTCCTGCCGTTACAGATGGTGACTAGGGGTGACAGTGACCTCCACTGTGTCCATCATCTTTATTACTATTTTTAAATACTATCACCACAAGGTTTCCAACAGTGGGTGTCTTTAGCATGGAACCAGTGTTCCCGGTAAGGTCTCCAAAGTCACACAAAACCTTGGCCTGCTGCCCCCATGCAGGAGACATGCTAAGGTGACTTCTGTCACTCAGGGTGTGACAAGCAAGTATCCACAGGGTGCAGTCAGGCCCCGGACCCAGGCTATCACCAGGCTATCTCTTTGGAGATGAAGACTCTGGTCACATTTCAGCAAAACCCAATTCCCAGAAGGCCCCCAAGGGAGGGCAGCCCACCGCCCTGGGGCCAGGGTGCAGAGCAGGTCCGGCACCTCCCCTCCTGCCCGAGGGTCTCTGGCCAGTGGTCTAAGGAAGCCCTCTGGGGACACTGGGCTGGACCCGCCCTTGCCCAGATACAACCCGCTCTCCAGCCCCAGGTCACAGATCTCTTCAAGTAGGACCACAGGACTTTGGGAAACAACTTGGGAAGCAGACCTGGGGCTCCAATTCTGGTCCCGGCTCTGCCGCCATCTGTCCACACAGGCACTTAGGCAGGTACGGACCTCCTGAGTCACAGCCACCCCCTGTGAAAACTCAAGGGAATACCCACTGCCCAGTCACAGGGTTGCTGTGAGGATTCGCTGATTACCCCAGGAAGGGAGCACAGGACACACATCAGCTGTCACTACCTCCACGGCCACCACCTTGATCATCGTCACCGTCAGTGTCACCACCATCCTCATTGCCACAGTCATCGTCAACATGTTGCAGCTGTCACTGTTGTCATCGGTCACTGTCATGTACTGTGTTCCCCCAAAATCCACGTGTCAGCTCCGTAACCCACAATGCAGCCGGGTTTAGAAACAGGGTCCGTGGGAGGTGATGAAGGTGAGATAAGAGTGACTCAGATCCAACAGGACTGCAGCGCCTCTCAGACACACTCATAGGAGGCCAAGTGGGACCACGCAGCCAGCGACACCCAGGAAAGAGCCTCATCAGAAATGGAGCCTGCAGGAACCTTGACCTTGAACTTCCAACTTCCAAAACTGTGAGAAACTAAATCTCTATTGTGTAAGCCACAAGGTCTGGGATTTTACCACGGCAGCCACGTGATCCAGTTACCATCATCACCACCACCACCATCATTACCATTACCACCATCACCATCATAACCACCACCATCACCACCACCATCACCACCATCACCATCACCACCACCACCATCACCATCTCCACCATCACCACCACCATCACCATCACCACCATCTTCACCATCATCACCACCACCACCACCACCATCATCACCACCACCACCACCATCACCACCACCATCACCATCACCACCATCTTCACCATCATCACCACCATCACCACCACCATCACCATCATTACCACCATCACCACCACCATCATTACCACCATCACCACCATCACCATCACCATCAACCCCATCATCACCACCACCACCAGCACCACCATCACCACAATCACCACCACCATCATCATCATCACCACTGCTACCATTACCATCACCACCATTACCACTATCACCACCATCACCATCACCATCATATCACCGTCATGATCATCATGACCATCACAGATGGACTTCCCCAGGAGGCCACTCCTGAGATGGTCAGCAGGCAGGGCGTCCCCTCGAGGGTGCGCTGATACCCCGTCTGTGGAAGGGGCTAAAACAGCAGGGCTGGGCAGAGGGGGAGTGGCACCACAGCCCGACAGAGGTCTCAGCCGACCAGATGAGGAGCTGGAAAATTGACTCCCCTCCCTGCAGGCACCTCGTCCCTCACCATCTGTAAAGCACACCCCCTTGGGTTCAGGACCGTATCTTCTCGCTCTTTTCCCACAGATTCGCAGCATCCCGCGGAGGAGCCAGGGCAACGCTCTCCACGGCGAGCAGATCCCGGAATCCCAGGCATCCCGGGGCGCACTGTCTCGGGCCAGAGGGCTTTACGGGGGCGCCTCTCACTGTGCCCTTGGCCCTTCAGCCCCAGAATCTTGCTCACTTTCCCACAGCAGCAGGCCCCTGGGGACAGTCCCCACCCAGAGGGTGCGCATCCACTCGGACAGCGTGGCCCAGCTTCTTGGCAGAGGCGCTTGGGCAGCCGCCGCATCCACATCTCCTTCGACCTTTCCCACTCTGCTCTCAAGGGAGCTAAAACAAGGGCCTGCGCCGTCCAGCACTGAGCTCAAGGGAGAGCGCGGCGCAGGGAGGCTGCTCTGAGGGACGAGGGCCTCTCATTTGTCCTCTTGTTTGGAAAACCCCAGGGTTTTCTTGTCAGATTCAAATGAGATCCCATGGAGAAAGTGCCCAGGGCAACCAGGTACACAGTAGGTGCTTACTAAATGCTCACCCCTCCACAGGACAAGCCCTGGCCACAGGGCAAAGGGAGAAGTCAGGAACAGGGTTGGCCCCTTACACTGAGCAACAGCTTCCATCTCCATCCCAATCTGTCTCTCTGGCCTCCAAGGTCTGACCTAATCCGGGCTCTGCCCACCTCTGGGCTCACTCAGCCCATACCTGTCCCACCAGCCTCTCTGCTGTCCCTCAGACTCACCCGGCTCATTCCTACCTCAGGGCCTTTGCACTTGCTTTTCACACACTCTAGAATCCTCTTCCCCAGAGCTTCACAAGGCTGCCCCCTCCAACTGGGTCTCACCTAAATGTCATCTCCCAGACAGGTTTCAGGGTCACCTCAGCCAAGGTGAGACACCGGTCACTAGGCGTTTACTTCACATGCACGTCACTCTGGATATAGCTCTCTGGGAGAGCACATCTGAGCCATCGACACCAGGTGTCTCTGAAGCATGATGTAGTGGGGACACAGGATAAAAACAGAGGAGCCTCCCTCTGCAGGGGGGTCCTGCTTGCCATAGTCTCTCAGGGCCTTTGGCAGCACAGAGGCAAGAGACCCCTTCGCAGCCCCTGGGCCACTCCTCTCCCTGTCACTTGCAGTTGTCTGCAGAACGAGGCACTTGGACCCCGGACCCCGGGAGCCTGGGAGCCTGAGCCCTCTGCCTTCCAGCTCAAACAAAAAGATTCCACAGGCTTGGGGACCTCCCACTGTGGCCAGCCACAGGCCACGCCAGACCCTGAAGCCAGACCATGATTCATCTCTGCCGAGGCTGCCTGCAGCCAGCCCTTCTCCCCTGGCCCAAGCCAACCCCTCAGAAAACCCCTCCCCCACCGCACACTGCGCCCTCCACCCCACCCTGCGTCCTGGAGGAATGTGAGGCTTCAAGGTCCTTCCTGACTGTCCGCCACCAGCATTTTAACCCAACCTCAGAATGTCTCTGGCTCTGTCTGGAACAACTGGGGGAAGCCGTGTCCTCCTGGGTTAGGACCGGAAACAGCAGCAGAAGACTGCCCACAAAAGTGCTGACCCAGCACAGAAAGGGAGATGGCTTTACTTGATGCCACGCAGCCAGCTCTGCCCGGCTCCAGGCCGCTGTGTCTGCAACTCAGGGAGGGAGGGAGCCGCCGGCAGGGGAGGGTCCATGCTGCGGCCTGAGCGGTTCCATTCTAGTGGATCCTGGAAAGCAGTGGAGAAACTCCAGAGCCCGTGGGAGACACAGAGTCCTGGCGATCTCAGAACAGAAAGAGGTTTCCTTAACTTGATGAGGACCTTTACCAGAAAACCCCAGCAAACATCCTGCCCTGGACAAAACCTTGGAAATATTCTCATTAATATGAGGATCAAGGATGCTGATGAGCCAGCACCACCAGGAAGACCTCCATGACCTTCACCTTCCACGAGCACCACGATCACCTCCACCACATCACCTCCACCACATCACCTCTACCACCGTCACCTCCTCCACAGTCACCTCCTCCACTATCACCTCCGCCACCATCACCTCCTCCACTGTCACCTCCACCACCGTCACCTCCATCATATCACCTCCTCCACTGCCACCTCCTCCATTGTCACCTTCACCACCATCACCTCCGCCACCTTCACCTCCACCATCATCACCTCCTCCACCTTCACCTCCTCCACCATTGTCACCTCCACCATCACGACAGTGCATTATAGTGCAGGGTTGTCACTTCCTCTACTGTCACCTCTATCATCACCACAGTGCACTACAGTGCAGGGTTGTCACCTCTTCCACTGTCACCTCCAACATCACCACAGTGCAGGGTTGTCCTCTCCATCACCTCCACTACTGTCACCTCCACCACCACCATCATTGGCACCTTCACCTCCACCATGATCCCTACAACCACCACTGTCATCTCCACCACCACTGTCACCTCCACCTCCACCATCACCAGAGTGTGGGATTTCACCTCCTCCATCATCCCCTCCATCGCCATCATCACCATTACCTCCATCACTTTTCCACTACTATCACCTCCTTCATTGCTGTTGCCTTCCCTACCATCATAACCACCGTCATCACCACCACCTGCACCATCCCACCACCGGCCAACTCTCCATATCCAGTCAGGCCTCTGGCAATTGCCCACGAGTCCCACATACACTAGGTGAGGGGCACGGAGGCGGTGAAGCCACCTGCGGGTTCTCTTTGGGTGAAGAGTCGGGCGACCCGGCTGCAGCACTTCCCGGCGACCACCTTCCTGGACGCCTCTGTTTCATTAGGCACTGGACACCTTGAGTGACAGGACTAGACCCGCGGTCTGCAAACCCTGCTCCTGGGCCCTGTCCCCACCTGGGTGGCCTCCCGCCCTCCCTGGGGAGACGCTCTGCTTCCATTCCGCGTGCACGGGAGGGCCCAGTCCTAGCGGAGGGCGCTGCCGCTTCAGGACTCGCCACCCCAGACGGGCTCCGGAAGGCCACGGGATTCACGGGAGACCAAAGGCCCCGTGTCGCCAGCAGCCCACGCGCAGCGCCGCCGGAAGACGAGCGAGGATGGCAGAGAGCGCTCACCGGGCAGGGGGTGGAGCTGGTGACCACCGCGCCCAGTCACCTGACAGCACCTCCGACGCGCCGGGCGGTCCCCCGCGACCTGGCCACGCCCCGGGCAGGACTCCGAGGGGTGCCACCAGGCGAGGGCAGAGGGACCTGCGCTCTGCCACCTGCGGCCTCCTCGGTGAGCACACCCTGCCCTGGCTGCCGCACCTGACCCCGAGGGACCCCAACCGGCTCCCTGCCGGGGACCCCCAAAGGCCACGTGCTAACACCTCCTGAGCGCTCCAAGGCCGCGGGGTGGAGCTTGCGGCTCCGCCCCTCGGTAAGACAGACCCCGCCCACAAGGAGGCGGAGCTGCCCCACACCGAGCACCTGAGACCTCCTCCCCACACCCCAGCCCTGCTGGGCTAGTCACCTTGGGCTAGTCGCCTGGCCTCCCTTCGTTCGCTGTGTTCAGCAAGAACGTGCTGAGCGATCACCGGTTCCTCGCTGGCCGCATGAAACTGATGGAATCAACTTCGCAGATTTTTCTTTTGGGGGTGCTGGGGATTGAACCCCGGGGTGCTTTACCACTGAGCCACATCCCCAGCCTCTTTTAATATTTTGTTTGGAGCATAGTGTAGCTGACTGGCTGAGGTCCTCGCTAAGTTGCTGAGGCTGGCTTTGAACTCTCGATCCTCCTGCCTCAGCCTCCCGAGCCGCTGGGATGACCGGCCACCACCGCACCTGGCTTACAGCAATTTTTCACATGAGATCATTGATGTGAAAAGTGGATTGTGTGGGAGGCTGAGGCAGGAGGATCCCAAGTTCAAAGCCAGCCTCAGCAACTTAGCGAGGCCCTAAACAACTCAGCGAGACCCTGCTGTAAATAAAATACAAAATAGGGCTGGGGGTGGGGCTCAGGGGTTAAGCATCCCTGAGTTCAAGCCCTGGAAAAAGAAGGAGAAAGAGAAGGGGGGAGGAGGAGGAGGAGGAGAAAACTGTGAACTATCAGTGTATTTCTCTTCCAGACCCTTAACCCCAAACAAATTCTCTCTGAATCTCCTTATTCAAGGGTCAAAGCCCTGAGCTTCCTGTGGGCCCACTGTTCCTTTAACACCCCACACCAAGCGCAGAGCGGTTTCCTGTGCTCCTCTTATTCTAAATAACCCTGACAGCAACATCCTTCTACTTGACGCCCACACACAGGTATTGCCATCGGCTCCTTCCAGAAAGGAAAAAAGAATCCTGGATCAAAAAGCAGGGACAGGGGCTGGGCTGTGGCTCAGTGGTGGAGCACTGCTCAGCATGCCCGAGGCACTGGGTTAGTCCTCAGCGCAGGTAAAAATAAATAAAGGCATCTGTCCATCTGAACCACAGAAAGAAATTCAAAACAAAGCAAGAATAGCCAGGCACGGTGGCACACGCCTGTCACCCCGGAGACTCGGGAGGCTGAGGCAGGAGGATGGAGTTCAAAGCCAGCCTCAGCAAAGGCAAGGCACCAAGCAACTCAGTGAGACCCTGACTCTAAATAAAATGCAAAGTCGGGCTGGGGACAGGGCTCAGTGGTCAGTGCCCCTGAGTTCAACCCCCAGTACAAAAAAAAAACCAAGGACAATGACATTGGCAGAGGCCACCTTAGTACCCTCTAAGTCTACCCAGGTCTGACAGTGTGAAGAATCAGGCTGGAGGCAGCCTCCTGTTGGGAGAGTCTCTCAGGAAGGACTCCGAGTGTTTCCAACCAACTCTGACCAGCGTCTGCCCAAGCTGTGGGAATTGGCCCCGGGGTCCACTGTGCTTGACTCAGGTCAAACAGACAAAAGGACTTCCTGGGAAGGTAGGACCATTGGGTAATGGACAAACGGGGCCAGAGGATTTTGTCAGAGACGCAAGCGAGGCCCAGAAAGGGCAAGCAGCCTGCCCCAGGTGGCCCAGCGGGGAAGAGGCCAAGACCAAGCCAGACCTCCCCGTGCTCCCAGCGCAGAGCCAGAGACTGCCCGGGGGCCCCACCTCCATGTCTCTGGAGAATCCCAGCCTGCGGGACT